GCCGAAATGCGTATGACCGGAGGACAGCGTTTGTGGCGTACATCACCTTGGTGAAAGGAGTCCCGTTCTACGGATACCATGTCGGATGGCGGTTCTTCTTCAAAATCTATCTCTTAAACCCCTTCCATACAACTCGCCTGGTCGATCTTCTGCACCAAGGAGCTGTGATGAAACGCCCGCTTCAGCCCTACGAGGCACATGTGCAATACATCCCCCAATGGATGTGTGATTACAATTTGTACGGATGTGCAACAATGAGCTGCAGTCAAGTCAAATTCCGAGCACCAGTACCTGAATATCTTGAGCTCAACAATCTAGACCATCGCTGGCACGATCGTTCAATACCACCCGAGAACATACTCGATCACCCTGCGTTACAGAAACAAAGCCATTGTGCACTGGAGGTTGATATCTGTGTTCAAGATATCCTGAACCGTCTTGATGTAAAGGAACGGCCTTTGCATCATGATTTCACCGAGCTTTTGAAACCTGTTGCAATTAATGAGCGGCTCGTTCTTAGCATGGCTGGACTGTGGCAGGATGAAACCCGCAGGCGCAAAAAGAGGATGGGCATTACTGATCCAGGAAGCACTCCGTTTGGACCCGAGGAATTGGTTTCAATGTCTGCGGATCCAAGAAATCAGTCGAGAGGTGGTTGGATACACGAGGAAGAATTTCGTGAAATGGCATCTCAGCTTGCCGCTAATGAGAAACACCAGGACAGCAACAAAGATACGACATTCGGGACATTTTTGGGTACCGATGACCATGCCAAAAATGTCAAGACTGCGTTGGATAGTGTCGAAGACTTCTTTCCTGACAAAATCAGTACTTTGACTTTTGATAGCAGCCGTTCCCAGGAATCAGCCGAGCAAAACGTACCAGAAATTTCGGTTGACGAGGGTCTCGCTCTGTCCTCTCAAGCTGACGGACGGTACTACTCGGATTCTGATCAAGGAGGGAGCTTATTGGAAGGGGGAACTGAACAGGAGCCCGAAACGAAAGAGGACCCACTGGGGGAGAGCTTTTACGATGAAGTCTTTGACGAATTGCCCTTCTCAGATGTGGCTGCACCTGCGGAGCCTACTGAAACCAGGAACCCCAAAGCGATTATGGATGGTGTCTACAAGGAAGAACACCCTGTAGCCCAAGAAAAAAGGACCAGTGGCCAGGGTCAAAGTAAAAGTATGGCCCCAAAAAGACAACACTTCGAAGCTCTCGATCTTTATCGTTCGTCTACGAAAAGACCTAGACATATGGCCACACACGCCTTGTCTGAGGGACTATTGGAACCACCTAACACACAAAAGTATCCGCAAGATGACAAACAAAAAAATGTTTCCTTTGATAGCAATGTGGATTCGCACGCGGAAACCTCGTCATCAGAACCCAAATCATCTTCCTCGCAGAGGACAGTCCGTCCAAAGGCGCATAGTTACACCAGCGGCCTGAAATTTCCGGTAGTCAAGGACCCTAATGATCCTCTGACCATTATGCGCTACAGTCAAGATGAGGCAAATCCTTCAAGAAAAGACTCCGAGTCATCCCAGCACCTCTTGGGTTCTTTCCCTTCTGGATCTGGCACGGAAATGTCAGGCAAAACTAGTGAAAATCAGAGTTCTTCAGAGCTACATTCGTCTGCAACAGTGGTGGGTCCAGCCTCCCTCGATCCACATCTCGCTGAGACCATGAAAAACCTCCATCTGTCATTCAATTTCGCACCCAACACATCATTGCGTTGTTTCAAATTCGCCAGCCCAACGTCTAGCGAAGTCAGCTCAACAATAAATGAGTATGGGCGTCCCTCGGTTGTATACCAGAAAGCATTTTACAGTGATGAAACGGATGTGCCTGAACGACCAAGAGAATATGGTGGCAGAGAATTTCGGCTAGAGAGCAACACCATTCACTATCTACCCGATTTTGACCCAATGGCAGAGTCACCTGCAATGGTTGGTGAGCAGATACCAACAGCACACGACCGACATCGTCAAGAAAAGGTTGATCAGCACCTCCGAGAAAGGTGTACCGCCAGGGTCTGGGAGTTTGCACCTGTTCCGCCAAGCCGGTCAGAAGTCATACAGTGGTTTGAAGAGCTAGAAGTCTCGCAAGCATGTAGCCAAAAAGCAGCCCAAAACATACCTGCCCAGAAATCCCACTTTCTCTCGCAGATCGAGGGCCCAACACAGAAGAACGCCCATGGCTTCAAATACTCGCAGAATGGAGTGTCCACTAGCGTGGAACACCAGGCTCAACATATGAGCACGATGAGCCTAGAAGTGCATGTGAACACGCGCGGAAACCTCATGGCCAACCCCGAGGAGGACGAGATCACTTGCATGTTCTGGTGCATCCAATCCGAAGACGAGGATCTCGAGGTCAACAGCCATCTTCCCGGAGTTCATGTTGGGATGGTTTACCATGGCGAGGACGTGAGGCCAGAAGCCAAGATCTCTAAGGCATTAATAATTGATGTCGAGCATGAGCCTACGGAGCTGGACCTGATAAACCGACTCATAGACCTTGTCCGGTACTATGATCCGGACATCATCACGGGCTACGAGGTGCACAACGCTTCCTGGGGATATGTGATTGAGCGAGCGCGCAAGAAGTACGACTTTGACATCTGCGAGGAGCTTTCAAGGACCAAATCCCAATCCAATGGACGATTTGGGAAAGAGGCAGACCAGTGGGGATTCAACCACTCATCGTCCGTTCGTATCACTGGGCGACACATATTCAATATATGGCGTGCTATGAAAGGCGAACTGAATCTGCTACAGTACACCATGGAGAACGTCGTCTTTCATGTCTTGCATCGCCGAATTCCTCACTATTCCCCTAAAGACCTGACGCAATGGCATCAAAGCGGCAAGCCTCGCAATATCCTCAAAATCGTGGAATATTTCAGTTCCCGTGTGCAAATGAATCTAGAAATTCTTGAGGCTAATGAATTGGCACCAAGGACAAGCGAGCAGGCGAGATTGCTAGGCATTGATTTTGCCTCTGTGATTTCCCGGGGATCCCAGTTCAAAGTTGAGTCCCTGATGTTCCGAATTGCGAAGCCAGAGAACTTCCTGCTCGTCTCACCAAGCAGGAAGCAGGTCGGACAGCAGAACGCATTAGAATGTTTGCCCCTGGTCATGGAACCGCAAAGTGACTTCTACACTAGCCCACTTCTAGTGCTTGATTTTCAGTCACTGTACCCAAGTGTCATGATTGCGTACAACTACTGCTACTCAACCTTCTTGGGGAGAGCCATGCACTGGCGTGGGCGAGATAAGATGGGATTCATGGATTACAAGCGACAGCCTCGGCTGCTCGAGTTACTAAAAGACAAGATCAACATCGCACCGAATGGTATGATGTATGTAAAGCAGGAAGTGCGCCAGTCACTGCTGGCCAAGATGCTTTCCGAAATCCTTGAAACCCGCGTGATGGTCAAAAATGGCATGAAAGCCGACAAAGACGACAAGGTCTTACAGCGACTTCTGAACAACAGACAGCTAGCGCTGAAGCTAATTGCAAATGTCACATACGGCTACACATCAGCCTCATTCTCAGGCCGAATGCCCTGTTCCGAGATCGCCGACAGCATTGTCCAAACTGGACGAGAAACCCTCGAAAAAGCCATCGCCTTCATCCATTCCATCGAACGCTGGGGCGCCGAAGTCGTCTACGGCGACACCGACAGTCTATTCGTGTACCTAAAAGGGCGCTCCCGCGACCAAGCCTTCGACATCGGCGAAGAAATCGCCGAAGCAGTAACAAACCTAAACCCGCGACCCATCAAACTAAAATTCGAAAAAGTCTACCACCCCTGTATCCTCCTCGCGAAGAAACGATACGTAGGTTTCAAATACGAACACCGGAATCAAAAAGAACCCGAATTCGACGCAAAGGGCATAGAAACCGTCCGACGAGACGGTACACCCGCCGAACAAAAAATAGAAGAAAAAGCCCTAAAAATACTCTTCCGCACCGCAGACCTCTCCCAGGTGAAGTCTTACTTCCAGCGCCAATGTGCAAAAATCATGCAAGGCCGCGTCTCCGTTCAAGATTTCTGCTTCGCTCGCGAAGTCAGACTAGGAACGTATTCCGAGCGCGGTGCTCTCCCCGCCGGCGCGATGATCAGCACAAAGCGCATGATGGAGGATTCGCGTTCGGAACCGCAGACTGGTGAGCGCGTTCCGTATGTTGTTGTTACCGGTGCGCCTGGGTCGAGACTTGTTGATCGATGTGTTGCGCCGCAGATGCTTTTGCATGATGCGCAGCTTGAGATTGATGCTGAGTATTATATCACGAAGAATATTATTCCGCCGCTGGAGAGGATTTTTAATCTTGTTGGTGCGAATGTTCGTCAGTGGTATGATGAGATGCCGAAGGTGCAGCGGATTCGACGGGTTGAGGGGTCGGTGCTGAGGCCGAATTCTGGGGTTGGGGTTAGTCGGAAGACTCTTGAGTCTTATATGCGCTCGTCGTCGTGTGTTGTCTGTCGGTCAAGATTGTCTGATGCTGCTGTGTCTGTGTGTGGAGATTGTCTGCAGAAGCCGCATCTTACGTTGCTTGATGTTGTTTCACGACTGCAGAGGGCGGAGAAGAGAGTTGTTGATTTGGAAGCTATCTGTCGCTCTTGTATGGGTGTTTCTCCTGGTGATGAAGCTAGCTGTGATAGTTTGGATTGCCCTGTCTTCTACTCAAGAACCAGAGATGCTGCTAACTGGAGACACTCCAAGGCTGTATTGGAACCTGTTGTTGAGTTATTGGAACGGAAGGGGGATGAAGGATTGGACTGGTAGTCTTTTGGATAGATATTTTGAAGTAATTGGTTTGACTTGGATATACCCCAGATTCTGTTAATGTTTAGTTCTACAAATTAGATAAAATTGAGCCAGTTTCATTCATATCGATGTAGACTAGAAGCTCACCACCTAACTATGCCAAACATTTTGGTATTATTTCTTTCTTTCCTTCTTTTTCCCTTTCAAAACAGCGAAATATCAGCTGTTAATCATGTTGATTAGAGCATCAAGCGCTGAAGGCTGCACATCGCCCTCCATTTCCACAATATCATCTGTTTCAGCCTCTTCCTTTTCAGTTTTCTCCTCGGCTTCCGTAGTGCCTAGTTCCACGCCTCCCTCGTTCTCATCATCCTCATCGAAACACACACCCACATCCTTGTCTTGGGGCTTGGGTTTGGCCATATCAATGCGTCGACAAGCAATGAATTCCTGATCCGGGGGCACAGAGGCAGAGCCCACCTCAGCCTTGGGCTTCATGTTCTCATGCACCTCCTTCGGCTTCACCTCCTCATCCATGCCTTCAACAATCTTGAGGATCTGCCGGTGAGTGTAGACCACGCCGTTATCGATAGGCTTTCCAGAATCGCCGCCGACCGCTCCCTCTGAGATCGGACCTTGTCGCGCCCGGCCGGTCGCAACATCACCGAGGACGTCGGGGAAAATCCAAGGGAAGCTAATAAGCGGAAGCTCAGTTGAGTTCACTTCAACAACTTTAATATCTTTTCTCTGCAGTGCCTCCTTGCATCGAGCCTCCAATGCCGCGGCTACCTGCTCCTGGGTAACACGATACATGGCAATGACCAAGGCAGGGATGTTTCCACCATAACGGCCGACTTTGTCGTAACATTGTTGGCGAAACCCACGACGGAGTGTACCCACGATTCTGCCTAGGTCTTCCTGCATCTTGTAGTCTCTAATCACAAAACCGTGGCGGAGTACAAATGTTGACCACACCTCAAACTCAGTGTTAATCTCATACTGAGCCATAATTTGTCGCATGTTCATGTCGAATTCTGCCTTGAGCTCACGGGCGTATTCCATGTAGGTTTCACTTGCTGGAGCTAGCGGGGATTCCAGGATGCGAGAGTCGAAGGGCTTCTCCAGCTTGGGAACGAAGTCAGGGGTGACCACTGCGTCGTACAGTTGACCGAGGATTTTGGTGGACCTATAAATGCTGGATGGTCTCTTAAACCTCTTCTCCATGAAATGGGGCCAGAATTTGGGATCTAGAGATCGGGCCATTCTCGCATGCGCACCGCTCTTGTTATAGTCAACTGCATCAGAATGAAGCTGAGCGAGACGAATGCACTTTTCTTCCCACACGCCTTTCGGGAGTCTGTCAGCCCAAGCCAAATGGGCATGTGCAATTCGGGGCAGACAGTCATTCTTCATATAGGTAACAAAGAATGAAGTGATTTCGTCAACTGTCACATCGTGATCAAAGTCTGGGGCTTTGGAACCCTTGTAGTCCATGCATTCGACGAACCATTTTGCTGGAATCAGATCGGGGTCCCAGATAACGAGGTAGTCATCGCCGTCAAGGTCACCCCCAGAGCACATGCTCGCGATGTCCTGGTCGCCAGTTTGGGGAAGCACAACCACGTCCCGAAGGGCTTGCAGCTCCGGTTTGTTCACTGCTCGAACCACACGAATATCTCCAGGATGAAGCGAAGGGTTGCGAGCGAGAATGCAGAGGCCTTCAATGACTTCGTACTCACCATCTCCATCTAGCCGGCAAATCTGGACAAATATTTCAGGAAGAGCGGCCAGTTTGTCTGCATAGGAGACTCTTCTGCGCGGCAACGCATTTTTATAGTACCCTTTCAAAACACCTGTCTCGTCCATGGCACCGAGAAGGTTGGCCCCTTGGTCTATGACGATCTTTGCTTTCTCTTTGAGATGCTTCAGATGCCAGGATTTCCAAAGCTCGAGCATAGTATTAGCAAATGGCTCGTCATGTCGTCGGAAGCCATCGGATACCATCTGAGCCAATTTTAGGGTCGTTTGGTTCGGGTCGATGTACTTCTGAAGAAGCTGAACAGCTTTCGAATCATTGCTCATGGCTCGATGGAAGCCACCCAGCATGCTGTTGAGTTTCTTGTGGAAGACTTCATCCGGGATATCCAGAGCAGAAAGCACAAGAATCAACTGGCGGTTTAAAGTTGCAAGAGAAAACTGGGACCAACGAATGATCTCCAAGCCGGCTTGATTGGTTTCGAACTTTTGTTGGCTTGGCCGAAGGTGTACCTCCTGAGGCAGAGGGTCTGGAGAGACAACCAGCATGCCCTTGGCTCCTCCAAGACGAAACTGGAAGGCCGAAGGTGGATCTCCAGTGAGAGTTTTAATTTTGTGCTGGGATGTGACCATTTGGGCAAGGAATTTGGAAATCTTTCCCACGCCATCTGAGAACGTGAAGCCGTTACGAATAATGTCATCACACGGAGCAGTTTGAACAGAGGATCCAGTGAAAGCTCGGGTTGTCGAAAAGCATTGTCCCAGTCTTGCAGCATATTTGGCCACATTTCGGATGTGGTTGAATTGGCCCATCCAGGCCCGGATGGTTGCCGCTGAGACACCGGCATCCGGTGCAAAGAAGTATGCGCCATGCTCGCGGAACTGGGAGTTCCCGAATGCAAGGAACTCGTACCGACGGTCTCCAATGGTGATACCGTTGGCCAATGTTCTTTTAACACGGGTGTAGATCTCGTTGTTGGAATCGCCTAGTGACGAGTTGATGCGACCTTCAGTTCTCTCATCTGTAAATCGAACTCGAAGAAAGCGCCCGGGTACACCTTTGTTCGACCATTCGCGCACGACTCGATTTGAGATGTCTACAGTTGGGGTGTTGTAGTAAATCGTAGTCGGGGTGACTCGTGCTGTGTGCATGAAGCAACAGTAGCTCGGAATCTTCGAGTCAGTCACTCCCTTGAAAAAATTGAGATTAAATATTTTCATAGGATCAAGATATTGTTTCTTCTCAGTTGCAACAAATTCTAGCAGTCTTGTAGCTTGGTCATCCCCGAGGTCCTTTATTCTCTCTACAAATTCGCGGGGCATGGTGAATTCAGAGAGATATCCCTGGGACAAACAAACCTCCAACTGATACCTGACTCTGAATGGGAGGTGCAGATAGTTCTGATCACCCAAGTCTTGCAACAATGCAGAAGCCTTGTTGGACTTGGACTCAGAAAAGTCAATCCAATTCCACACTGGCACCGGTCGGTCTAATTTCTCGACAAAGTGATTCCCATTTTGAATGGTGATGTTATAGTCCCTGAAAATATCCTCGACACGCATCAAATGGCGACTGGTATCGCCGACACGGCTCACATTGGGGTCCGCGTCGGGGACGAATGAGATCTTGAACACGTTCCATCGGCCTACCGAGAAACACCGGTAAGCTTACAGAATTACAATGGGATGACGGCACTTACCCAAGTCAATGATATGCCCCAATTTCTTCAAGCTTGTGGGGAGTGTCTTTAGTGAGTTTGGGTTATGTGTCACGGAGGTCTGGCGATACCAGCTATCCTCTTCTCTCCAGCTCAACGGCTCGGTCAATGTGGATCGAATGTCCTTGGCCTTTCGATGCCAAATGGCAGCGGAGTCTAGAACAATCAAGAAGGAGTCCTGTCTTGTGGCTTTATCGTATTGCTGATAAATCTGGGACAGTTGGAGAAAGGTGATTTTGACACGATAGTCATGTTGGGTCACATCTGCAGTCTCTGACCCCCGAATTCCCACTTTAAAGTACAGTACCAAGCACTTGCGCATGACATCGATCACACATCTGGGATATGCCAGGTTGTTGAAGCTTTGCATAGAATGGACAGTGGACCGACCTAGGAGGATACCGATATCGACTTGTATAGTTTTCAATTCCTTCAAAACAACCGTCAATATTTGAAGGTAGTCTCATAACATTCATTCACTGACCATTTCACCAGGCACCTGAACATCTGGACGGACTGGGCTCGGAATTGTCCCGTTTGAGTCACCACAGCAGATACTGAGCGATATCACTGCAACACGGCCACTCCGGAGTCTCATGCCGAAAGAGCCGGTTCTCCAGAAGTCTTCATTTGGAGGTGGTCTATGGATGGTCAGCCAACAGTTAAGCAACGTGGTGAATTGATGGGGTGCTCACTTGAAACGAATGCGTGCCCTCGAATCAGGACGCCCCGCGGCATCCTCCCAAATATCAACCGAAATCAGATTGCCATACTGATGGAAAGCCTCGTAGATGTCATGCGTGTTCATCTTTCTTGGAATATTTAACAAGTCCACCGCACAAGTTTTCCATGATGTCCAGGTTATCCAGCTCTGGACTGGCGGGGGCCGAAAAGGATGGCCAGGAGGGCCAGGAGGGTTAGGGACACCCAACCTCAAAAAGTTGGACTTTGGAATTTGCAAATTTGGAAGATCTGGGCCCGCCATCATGAAACTGGTAAGGCAAGAAAGCTTGTTAAGATGTTGAGGAGAGGAAGAGAAGAGAAGAGGAATGGTCGACGGATTATATAGGAAAGGATTGACACAAATAAAAGGAATGAATAAGAAAAACAAACGGAAGGTGAGAAATTAGGAAAGAGCAATCTTTCAAGAGTGTCTACTGTGGAAGGTACAGAAATGGATATAAGAAAAGGAGCGATCCTCTTCGAGTATTGAAGAACTGAATGTCGAATGAGAGCAGATATGACATGTGAGAGTTCACCCCATCACGTCTGTATTTAGTTAAGCGAGAATGAGCAGGCTTAAATGCAGCAAACATTTACTTACGCTTTGGGCCTTTGTAGACTATTGCTGCCATATTCTTCTTTTCAAAAACTAGTTTGATGTGAACCTAAGTCCCCCTGTACTATGTAGATCAATCAGTTAGACACACCCATTGTTCAGGGCGACCATTTCTGATCTACCCAGTGGGACTGATGGTTATATCTTTATCAAGGATAGGTTAGCTAGCACATTAAAGTGATGTCCCGATAGCGGATACATTACCTATTGCCTTTGGAAAGCAGAGGTAGTGAAACCGAATATGTGTAGTACTTGCTGTATACATCTAGCAAGCTTAATGTTGGTAAATGTCGGGGAAGATAAATTGAAAGTAGATATGGATATTCCATAATCAAGAGGGTACAAGCGAATACATCGCCGTCTAGGCCGAAGAGACTAAAACAGTGAATAATCCGAGGGAAAATGAAATGAAGGGAAGAACATACCCCAAAGCCTCAAAGAATTGCCTTGAAATAACGGCAGATAATACAGGCTTCGGGGCAGCGATGTCAGTAGTGATGCGTCCAAATAATTAAAGACAATGGTTAAGGCAGTTGGGGTTTCTAAGGTTGTGGTGTAGATTATCTACTACCTAGAAGTGTACATACAACGCATATCACGCTGAAAGACATATCAAAGGACGCTTCAAAAGGCAACTCGGAATACACATCAAATAGCATATCGAATATCACATCAGAAAACAACCGTTACGATAGGCATGATTCGATTGTCCAAGAATTATGTACATGTCAACGCCACCACTACCTAGGCAACCTTCTCACTGAGGAGCTATCTGATCCGCTGACCCCGTAAAAGCCGTACTGGAAAAGAGAAAGTCTCTAGAAAACTCCAGATCCATATCCAAATCTAGATTATGCAGCCTGCTCTCCTCAAAGTTCCTCTGAGCCTGTGTCTCCTGGAAAGAGGCATCCACCTGATTTCGTTTCGACGAAGTACTAGACTGTGATTTCGTCGGGCTGTTACGGTCAGCCTCTACCAGCGGTTTTCTGACAGAATGAGATATGCCAGTGGCTGATGGCGGGGTTTTTGTCTTAGAACCTGCAGCGGGGGAGGTGTTTAGGTCATAAGGTATGCTTGTTGATTTGCGATTTCCTCTTGGTCGTTTTGGAGTAGGACCATTAAAGTTGGAGGTCATGGATCCAAAGGGCTGTGCTGACTGTGTGTCATCTTCATCGTCGCTTATGGTGTGCAGGATCCTTGCAGCTGGAGCGGCGTCGACAGAGGACCTGGTTCGTTGGTGGGTTTGAGGGGCGTTTGACTCGGGGGCGTTGGCGGAGAAGCCCATCACGCCCATTAGACGACCGATGTGTTGTTGTGCTTCCGAGAACTCGCGGGCCTTGGCCGCACGCTCGTCTCGTAAGGCCTGCACCTAAATTCAACGTCAGGAAGTGCGGATTTTGATGGAGGTAGTGATTACCTTTCTCTCCAGGTGGTGAATCCGTTTGTCTTTCAATTGCACATCTCTAGAAGCATCAAGGGCGGCAGCTTGCATAGCTGCATGTAATCGCCGATTTTTTGTCTCGTGATTCACAATCTGAAAATGTAGGTACACGATTAGTTTCACCCATACCCAGATTTAATGCATGTGTAGACATACGTCAGATGTGGCCCGCGAACTTTCGGCTTCATGGTCATGTTTCAGCCTTTCAATCTCACTCCGCGATTTTTCCTCCGATTCTTCCAGTACACAATAAAGCCTTTTAACTTCAATGTTCTGTTGCTCAACCTGGAAAGAGTCAGTACAAACTAATTAGTCTTGATTGATGCCAGAAAACCCACCGTTGTTTCCATGCACCCCAGTTCCTTTCGCAAATCTTCCTCCTGGGCCAGAAGGCGGCTCACTTCATCTTCTTTCTCATCAGCAAGAAGCCTAGTCTGCTTCAATGCCTCTGTAGCACTAGCAAGATCTTGCTTCAGAGAGCTAGAGAGTTCAGATAACGTAGCTCTTTCGCTCGATACTTGATCGAGACTTTGGCGTATCTGTTCATTCTTCATTTGCAAACAGCACATTTCCCGCTGAAGCTCTTCCAATTGATCGTCCTTTTCAGTTAAAGTAGCCATCATCTCCAATTCCTTCGAGCGGGCCTTTTCTCTTTCCACAAGAACTGCCTTCTCGGAACTCTGTTGCTGCTGCTGAAGCTCCACGCGTGCAGATTCGAGCGACGTAGTCAGTTCGTCGGTGTATGCGCATTGCCCTTGAAGGAGCTGTTCAAGGCGTGTGTTCTCGTGACCAAGTTCAACAAAACAGTCGGATAAGCCCCTTGACTTGGTTTCGAGCTCTGTATTTTGGGTTTTCAATTGCTCGTTTTCCATCGCATATCTGTCCCGTTCTTCTTCAGCAGCTCTTAGGGGTCCTTCAACGTCGTGACAGCGACTCTCTAGGTCAAAGCACATATCCTCGATCTTTCTCATCATGCTGTCGTGAGAGGTCTGAGCATTCTGCATAAAGAGTTCGGTAACTCCAGAGCGCCAATCACGGGTTATCTGAGTCGACGAGAGATCATGTCTGTCGCGCAAGACAAGGGAGCCACGGAAAGCTTTGGGAGTTGTTGATGAGAACGCACAGTTAAGGCTCGGTATTGATTGCTCCACTCGTCCCACGAAGGATTCCATGACAATGTCAGTTTCGTTCTGCGCCGAAGCCTTGTAAAGTTTTAATAGAGATAGGAACAGCTTGTTTTGATTAGTGTATAGCTCAGATCCACACCATGCCGCACCACCGCATTGGCTTTCGCTTGGCAGCCTGGGAAAGTATTCAACCATTTCCCCAAGAGCTTCCCTCAGACGAGCCATGGAGTTGTTGACATTAGAAAATAAGAGCTCGGGATGTACTTTTTGCACACCAGCTAATACGAAATTTGCCAAGTTTAGTGCTGCAAGCTGTCTCATCCCCAACCATTTATTACCTCTTAAGACATCGGAAGTAAAGTTCAAAAGTTGACGAGTGGCAGGCTCTCCAGATTCCTATTGATGTCAGTTGTCAAAGTTGCCGACAAACAGGAGCTCTTATACTTACTGCTAAAGACTTGGCAAAGCATGGAATCAGTTGATGGGGTATCTTTTCCATAGTCTCTTGGCAATTTTCGGACAAAAGGATCTTTATGCCAAGTTCCCGTAGCTGGGATGGCAATGAATGTGCCGGGAGAAGTGTGTGCAAAAAGACAATTACCTATAATCAAGTAATTAGCAATTCGTCTCGATGCGCAAACTAGCCACAACTAACCATCGTTTGTGTTTGACCATAGAGACCGTCCCTGACAGCCTTCTCGCACAGCTTAGCAATCTTAAGCTTATTACCTGCTATCCAAGCCTGTTTCTGCTCAGGCTCAATAGCGTCAGCGATGCAAATGGCCAGCTGAATACTCTTAGCCGCCTGGGGCGGTGCCAGATTGCAACTGGATGAGCAAGCGAGTATGACACGCAAGACAACCAAGTCGAGCGTTTTGAGACCACGTTTCTGGCCAAAGAAATGCTTAATATTAAGAAGCCATGGCGCTTCCGATCCGTGTTGATTTTGGGATGCTATATTCAATGCCGTCGCAATCTGCGCAAAGGTTGCCAGACACAAGAGGTTGCCCATATGATCGTCCAAGTTGCGCAGGGTCTTGGTGAACTCCAGCTGGAGATTGGACATGACCTCGGATGGAATATCATTCAAGATCCGTGGCGAGCCTTTGAGCCCCGAGATGAGTGCGTGGAGAGGTGCTACAGTCTCAACGCAGGGATTCTCTGCCATCATACTAACTAGCTTCGTGATAAAGGGGGCAATCCTGGCTGGTGGCACAACGCCCGCTGGCAGGGGCGATGAAAATAATGCGATACATGCCGGGAAATACTACTAGAGTCAGCTGATGCGCCTCAGCGAGTATTTGTTGACTTGAAGGAACGAAGCTCACCTCGGTCCCATTAGTCTCCAGGGCCTTTTCTAGAAATGCGTCCAAAATGACCGGGTGTCGCTCCAGCAGCTCATCTCTAAAAGATGATGCAGATGCTAGATTATGTCAGACTCGTGTCCCAACAATACTTTCATTTAGCACAAACCGAATGCAGTGATCAGAGACAGAGCGATGCGTGATCGGGATAAGGCCTCGACCAAAACATCAGCCAACAACCCAGCTTGGCAGGGCTTGGATAATGCCCAGGCGCCAATTGTCGAAGATCGGCTTTGGGATACCAGATCATGGAGATCCTGCACGGGTATTATTAGCATGTATACTCCAATGCCTGTCTTGGCCGAATTACCTGTAACGAAGGTACGTAAGGCGCAGTGACTAGGCGTTCTACCTCACGCACTAATTGAGCGAGTTGCCCTTCCATTTTAAAATTGCATAGATGTTACTTTGGTGGATCCGGTTAGTACGCGATTCAGTCTGACAAAGTTGATGTCGACGTGGACGAGGTTCTCCCCACCGTTGCCCCGTCAACCATTGACATATTCACTTTTCTACTTGCTCTAAATTATCCCAATTTACACCTTTTTACCCACCTATATTTTATTCTATATTCTGCTAATTCTTCTTATTCTAGCACCAATTAGGGGAAGTATCTAAAAAAAAAAAGAGAAAAAAAGAGAGAAAAAAAAGAGAAAAAAAAAGCTCCGGAGTTCTCGCCCGACTCCGTCTTTCTTCCTCTACGGCTATTTTTATTCGCCCCCACGTTCAGGTATCTCCACAATTTCGGCAATGGCAGGTCGATGGCCTGAGGGCGGACGAGGGTGGAATTACAGTGGGATCAACTGGGATTATAGTCGCTATAGTGCGATTATTTATTACAGTGGGGGTGGAGTTTTAAGGGACCTCCGGCTAAGAGTTCGAAGAGTGACCCCCCACAGCTTTCTCGGCCGAAGTCCGACACTACAAAAGCCCGGTCACATCATGCCGGTCCGCAATATCGACATTTCTTTTCCCTTTTAACGGCTTCCTGTTCCTCTTTGAGCTTCGATTCTTATAAGCTCTTTGTATATAATTATCCACCATGCGGCCAGCTCTCCGGGTCTCCCGGGCCCTACCGGCTCCAGTTTGTCGGCCCCAGGTCTCGCGCGCCATTTTGTCTCGCGGTGCTAGATTGAACAGCTCCAATGCCGGGAAAACCGAGAACACAGAGAACACAAAAGAAAGCAATTCCTCTAACGCTCCCCCTTCACCCTTTTGGACCCCGGCCAAGGCTATCCTTGCCTCCGCATTCGCTGCGGGGTTAGGCTACGGCGTCTCCTCATATACTCAGACCTCGACACAGACACCTAAGAAGCCTCAATATGGCTCAGTGAAGGACTTTGAAAAGGTAAATCTCTCGATTGCAACATAATCGCACACTCCTCCAGGAGAACACCAGCTAACAACCCTCCCCCAGGCCATCAACGAGCTAAGAGCCAAGCTCGGTGAAGACGTAATCGGCACCGACGAAGACGAACTCCAATCACACGGCTTCTCGGAATGGTCCAGCCTAAACGCTGACCGTCTCCCCGTCGCAATCGCATACCCCAAGACCACCCAAGAAGTCTCCGAAATCGCCAAGGTATGCCACAAATACCGCATGCCGATGATCCCCTACTCCGGGGGCTCGAGTCTGGAAGCCAATTTCTCCGCCCCGCTCGGCGGCATGACAATTGACTTCGCATTCATGAACAAAGTCCTTGAAATCCACCCAGACGACATGGACATCATCGTCCAGCCTTCCATCCAGTGGATGGATCTGAACGAGCAGATCAAGGACACCGGAATGTTCTTCCCCGTCGACCCAGGCCCATCCGCCATGATCGGCGGTATGGTCGGCACAAACTGCTCCGGCACCAATGCCGTCCGCTACGGTACCATGAAGGACTGGGTGATTAACCTCACGGTCGTCCTGGCTGATGGTCGCATCATCAAGACCCGCAGACGTCCCCGCAAGACTTCCGCTGGATATAATTTGACCGGCATGTTTGTTGGCTCCGAGGGTACGCTTGGTATCGTCACTGAGGCCACGCTGAAGCTCGCGCCGCTTCCGGAGTTGACTCGCGTTGGTGTTGTCGCGTTCCCGACCATTCGGGACGCGGCCTCGACCGCCATGCAGCTCATTCGCAAGGGTGTCTCGGTGCAGTGCATGGAGATCATGGATGATGTTCAGATGGACGTTATTAACCGCGCGGGTGGAACTGGCCGTGAATGGAAGGTCTCGCCTACGCTGTTCTTCAAGTTCTCCGGAACTGTCGCCGGTGTCGCGGATAGTATCAATCTGACGACTAAGGTCGCGGAGGGTAACAATGCACAGACTTTTGAGTTCGCTCGTGATGACCGCGAAGCTCATGACCTGTGGTCTGCGCGCAAGCAGTCGCTATGGAGTATGATGGCACTGCGCAAGGAGGGATCAGAGGTGTGGTCGACTGATGTGGCTGTGCCTATCTCTCGACTGCCTGATATCATTGGTATGATCTTCAACCCGATTTACTTCTTTGTATGTATACTGACACTGAATCTTGCAGAAACCTCTAAGAAGGAATTGGTCGACCTGGGCCTTTTCGCCAGTATCCTTGGCCACATCGGCGATGGAAACTTCCATGCAAGTATTATGTACGACCGCAACGATCCTGATGAGCGGGCGCGTGTCGAGAAAGTAGTGTACGATATGGTTGATCGTGGACTAGAGATGGAGGGCTCGTGCACAGTAAGTCGTTCATCCTTGGAGATACCAGAACATCAGCTAATTCAATACTACAGGGCGAGCACGGCATTGGGCTGGGCAAGAAGGGATCTTTGAAAAAGGAAGTTGGACCGGAGACAATTAATGTCATGCGCAGTATCAAGCGCTCATTGGATCCGCACTGGCTGCTGAACCCTGGCAAGATCTTCGATTACGATGACGAGACACCGGGCCCCGGACATTGATTGTGATTTAGCATTGTATACATTATATATGAACGAACCTACGGGCTTTCCAATGGAATGGTGCAAATAGTAGAATTTCATTACCATAACGGTGGTATTTGCTCAGACTTGATGTTCTTGTCCCAACGATTTCCGCAGACGATCCATCTTGCCTTAGATCCGTACACGCATTGAATGGACCTTCTTCCTTCAGGCATTCACACTCTTCGTTATTGGGTTATTGACCCGCCCGATGCATTGAATATGCGCACCTTCAACGTTGGCAATGTTCATCCCGGTATTTTCATCGAAGCTTCAGCGTCCATTTCGCTTTGCGAAGAACTCGCTCACGCTGGAGGATCATGGTGTTTTGAATTTGCCCTATCGGGGACAAATCGTTCAGCAACGGAACTTGACTTGCACGGGCACTTGTATCAAGCTCGCTAGTACCCGATGCTGGGGCTTGGGGGGCAGGGGGTACATGCTGCCCCATGATGGAAAGCCGGGCACACACGTCGATTAATGCTAGTGTAGCCCTTATATTAGTAGCCAAGAAGTGTGTTCTTACTCCGACATAAGTGGGTGAGGTAGGAGATGGTCAATTTCAAGTTGACGAAAATGGGCGAGGAAGAAGGCCCTGACAAGAGAGACTCCAAGTCGAGATGTTCTGTCATAGAATAGAAGCTGAAATATTTGATGGTAGGATGTATTTGTAGTCGCGATAGCCTTGTTTGTCAGGCTTCTTAACAATTTGGTAATTAACCTCTGTTTGTTTGTAGAAAATCAGTCCATCTTCTTTCCTTGTCAGCTTCCAGGGTTATCTTGGGGTTTTCAGTTAATATTCATCCCTGTTTACCCAGATGTTACCTTGGAAAAATGCCTCAATAAATACCTTAGGTCCTCTACCAGGTCCATCTACTACATGGTGGTGGGTCTGCACGATTACACTGACAGTGCCGGATCTCGATATTCATGTAGATTCCCTGGAAGTCTTAGTCCGCATTAGGTGCAAATATTAGAATATTATTATCATAACGGTGATGCTTGCCCAGAGCCTAGGACCTGAAAGTATCGCTCGAACAGATTCGCACTCCACTGACAGCCAGTGCCTGAGCTGGGTATGTCTGCAGATTCACTGGCTGGTTCCATGTGAGACAAACTGTCTATAGCTGCCGGAGCAGCTGCGGCAGCATTCGCCAACGCCCACATACGAGGAATATGTTCTTGGGCTTCTAATTGCATGTTCGGCACCTCAGAACGACAGTTCGGGACTCTGGGTTCCAGCTCGCCAGGGGAAGGACAGGAAGACCCAAAAACTTCTTCTCTCTGGCGCTTTAAAGTTCCCAGACCAAGCGGCTGTGGTGATTCTGTAACCATGGTATGTGATTCTTCGAAGCCGCTGTCATCATCTGGTGATGCACCCCATTCAGATGGATTAATCTGTATCCTGTCCCGAGAAAATAGAGCTTTCGTGTGGAGTTCCTCGATATTCTCCCAGTGGCGATCACATCGGGCATCACCATCCATCTTCAAGTAATCGTATGTCTCATTCACCGCTTGCCATGCAGAATCCAACGCCTTACCTTTCGGGGCCAGAGAAAGATTAATGAGCAAACATGTCAAGGCATCCCATTCGACGTAGTTTTGGAAAGTCCAGACCCACTGTCTGCCCTTTTCATAGCGTTTCAAAGTTGAAGTTTTCTGCAGGATCTCCGTGCAAACCTTTCGGAAGTTCATATGCGTGAGTATAGACTGGTCTTGTCTCGCTCGGGGTTTGATCACTGCCAGTCTGAGCTTTCCGAGCATCAAATTGCAGGAGACAGTTGTAAAATAGTCCAACGCAATACTTTGATCTAGATGCGATAAATATTGCTGTTCGACTTTTTCTTTGAAAATATCTATCGCTGTGCATTTCTGCGAAGCTGATAAAGCTGGGTAGCAATTCTCTTCGCAGAACTGGCCAGAGAAGATAATTCGGCGGGCAAAATTGCCGATTTCAGATCTTGCGAGACTCAGCATCATCTCTGTTTTTCCGCTGCAGTTTCGGGGCGGGTCCTTCATATCAATATCAAGACTTGCATCGCTCACATTCGAAGGGAGCTTTGTGTCGAACCATGACTCCAGAATACGTGGGGTTGTGCCACAGTCCTCTGCGATATTGATATCGAGAATATAGATCTGCCACCAGAGTCGACGCCGCATTTCGGCTTGAAAGGGTGGTAGTCCTGAAGCAGATGGATCGCGATGCAAGCCGATGTTGAGGGCAATTCCAATTGCATTCCCAATAAACTTTCTAATGTCTGGTCCTTTATCATAACGCCTGCTGCAAGCCTAAAGTAATTGTCAGATAATGTCAGACATCTCCTTGTTTTAGTATCACGCACGATGTATATGACAAAAGCTTGTAGGATGGTCATGTCCGATGACTTCAATAGATCGGCTTTTGCGAGAGAGCTTTCAACTCCGGTGCGATATCTTGAAAGATTAGCAAGACACTTATGGCTTTGAGCCAGATACATACATCTTCAATGCTTTATGCTTGTCTTCATCAAGCTCAGCCCAACAATCTTCCGCCGTCATTGTTACCACAGCAGCATAACAGATGGCGGATATCAAGCATTGCGTGGGTGCTCTGAGGGTCTCTCGACATTGGGTGTTATTCAATATCTGTCTCTGGACCGTTGGTGCATGTATAATTTTGAGGATTGGCTCCACGTTTTCTAAGTACTTCTGCCATAGGAAAGATACCAGCAGTCGGGGCGGGCAAAAATATTCGAGTGCGGAAGTCGGGAGAGATTTGAATAAAGATGGACTTTGATTTAGATCCCTTCCATCATGCCCGTGATATTCATGGGACTGGTGCACCGGGTCATGACCATGACTTGCAGCAAGAGATGGCGATGAAGATTGAGTCTGCAAAATCCCTTGGAGTTGAGAGAGACTTTGCTTAAAATAATCTAATGTATGCTCAATTCTTTCGATGCGGGTTACCATATAATCGCCAGTCTGATGGCTCTTGGTAATGGTAGGTTCCGCTCTTGGTGGCGCGTAGCTGCACTGTATCTTGACTTTGACGCAGTACGAGCAAGGCAGGGATCTGTCGCATTTGATTTTTCGTCGACGACACTCAAGACAAGAGCGCACTGTGTTGGTAGGTGGATAAACCATTGACTCAAGAAAATGCTCGGAACTGTAATGATGACTGGGGAATTGTGATGGTGTAAGTCACAACATGAGCAAGTTGATGATACGAGGCTGTGAGCTGATTGGTTAGAGCGGAGCGGCGGAGGCCCCAGTCCGCATTTCTAAGCGTAAGGCAGGCGGACGATGGAGTAGATCGCATCATATTATTTCCCTTACAAAAATTGCTTCGGAGTCAACATGGGTATTGTTTGATTGGTTGAAGCGGAGGAGCGGACAGAAAGTCCGTCGTACTTCAAAGCACCATTTGCATACGCAGTCCATGATATGAAGTCAACATCAGATAGAGAGAGCGAAATAGCGCAGGACTAAAACCTATAAAGATGTCATTCCATCCAAGACTAGTACTTCATCTACAGCGCAATAATCCGATATGGCATCATACTTGAAAAACGTTGCAATTATCGGCGTACGCCAGCTCCATTCTCAAATTATACATATTACCCTAGCTAACAACTTGGCAGGCTAGCGGCACCGTTGGCAAAATCATCCTCGATGGCCTTGCATCTTCCCAGTTCGAAATTACCGTCATTTCCCGCAAGGGGAGGGAGGCGACTTTCCCATCTGGTGTGACTGTTCTCAAGACCGACTACTCGGACAACGGTCTCGAGGTTGCATTCAAGGGCCAAGACGTCGTCATTTCGGCTGTGGGTGCCAGCGCATTTGGCGAACAGAAGAAGTTCGTCGATGCTGCCATCCGTGCAGGTGTCAAGCGCTTCATCCCATCTGAGTTCTCGGCAAATAGTCAGAACGAAGCTGTGTTGCAATTGCAGCCAATATTTGGGCCGAAGAAGGAACTCGTCGAGTATCTCAAGAATAAGGAGACCGACGGGTTGACCTGGACTGGTATTGCTTCTTCCGGATTGTTTGACTGGGTAAGTCTTCCATTGCAAATTGCGAATTGCAACTTTGGCTAATCAGTGATTTTTGAATAGGGTCTTACAAACGGGTTTCTGGAATTTGACATTGCCAGTCATACGGCTACTATCTGGGATGGAGGCAACAAGAGTTTCACCCTAACCAATCAGAAGGCCCTCGGGGAGGCTGTTGCCTCTGTTCTTCTGCATCCCGATGAAACCAGAAACCAGTTTCTGTTTATTGCCTCGGTTGAAACCACTCAGAAGGACATTCTTGCTGCCTTGGAGGAGGAATTGGGAGTTAAATGGACCGTAAACGAAACTACCACAGACATTCAAGTCAACGAGGCAGCCAAGAAGCTTGCTGCTGGGGACTTTAATGGTGCTTTTGCTCTGGTTCGAGCCACTGTTTTTGGCAACACCCCGGGGCTCCATTCAAACTATGCCAAAGAGGAGAATCTGGCGAACAATGTGTTGGGACTTCACTTGGAAACTGTCAGCGATGTTGTCAAGCGTGTCCTCAATAAATAAACCAAAAGGTCCAGCCACAGGCCACTTTCTGAGTGGCCTTTTGATATTCCAACGATACATGACGTTCCATAGAAAGAAATGCAAACGAGCCAAATCTCGGGAGATTAAACTTTGACAAAGGACCCATATATTCTGACCAATCGGGGAGCCACGTTTTTGTCCGAACACAGTCGCTGACATAAGCGCGGGGCAAGGCAATTGGCTGAGAGCGATATCGCTGTCGCTGTGAATGCTACAAGCCTTCAACCCCATCACCAGCGAAGCGGTAAGTACAATTGTTGTTTTATATTGATATTTTGCTATGCCAATCCCCTGGAACTGTAAACCATGTAGTCTGTGAGGTATCGAAGCTAGCAGAGCCTCCTATATACTGCATGCGGGGCTCTGGAAACGCTTTGACTCATACAGGCCTCTGGTGGTATATGACCCACGGCATGAAGCAGTTGTTCTTTTGTATATCTGTTGATTGGTCGCTAGTTTTAACTTGTTGGAATTTCTGGTTTGCTAACCTACACAAGATATAAACTCAAAAGCAAAATGGCTCCTGAATTCCCAAAGAAGAAGTGCGGTACGTTATCAATCTTGAAAGTATTTTCATGCATCATTCAGACCTAACATGTTACAGGTGTTCTCGGTGCCACTGGCTCCGTGGGCCAGCGCTTCATCCTGCTGCTGGCAGACCACCCCTTCCTTGAGCTTCACGCTGTGGGTGCTTCTGAGCGTTCAGCCAACAAGAAGTACAAGGATGCCGTGAACTGGAAGCAATCCTCCCCCATGTCTGAGAAGCTCAGCAACCTGGTCATGCGTGACTGCAGGCCCGAACATTTCTCGGATTGTGACCTTGTCTTCTCTGGACTGAACAGCGATGTTGCTGGCGAGACTGGTATGTGATATCAGATGTATCAGATTTAACAAACAAAACTATATACTGACATTTTATGCAGAAATGGCATTCATTAAGGCTGAGATCCCCGTCTTCTCAAACGCAAAGAACTTCCGCAAGGACCCCATTGTTCCTTTGGTGGTTCCTACCGTGAACCCCCAACATCTGGATCTGATTCCTCACCAGCGTGAGAAGTACGGTCTGAAGAAGGGCTTCCTGGTCTGCAACTCCAACTGCGCTGTTATTGGCATTGTCATCCCCTTCGCGGCTCTTCAGGCCAAGTTTGGCCCAGTCGAGGAAGTCGAGGTTTTCACCGAGCAGGCAGTCTCCGGAGCCGGCTACCCCGGTGTTCCTACAATGGACATCCTGGATAATGTCATCCCCTACATCAGCGGCGAGGAGGACAAGCTCGAGAACGAAGCGCAAAAGATTCTGGGTACATTGAATGCCAGTGCCACTGGTTTCGATGAGCAGACTGGTCTCCGCATCGGAGCCACTTGCACCCGTGTTGGTGTCACTGACGGCCACATGGCATTCGTCTCCTTGCGTTTCAAGAACCGCCAGACCCCCACCGCCGAGCAGGTTAAGGAGGCTCTACGGGAGTATAAGTCCGAGGCGCAGAAGTTGGGTGCTCCTTCCGCACCAGAACCCGCGATCAAGGTGTTCGATGAGCCCGATCGTCCCCAGCCCCGCCTGGACCGCAACATCTCCGGTGGATACACAGTGAGCGTTGGCCGAGTTCGTGAGGGTGCCCCAGGTGGTCACTTTGATATCCGATTCGCTGCCCTCTCTCACAACACCGTCATTGGAGCTGCTGGATCATCTATCCTCAATGCCGAGGTTGCTGTTATCAAGGGCTACATTTAAGTCGATTACGAAAAGTGGAATTATCAGCGCATGTCAAATAGATACAAATTTTCGTACAAATGAATTAGATCTCATTGGTCTCTATTCCTAAAGCGGAAGTTCTCGGGTGGATCAGGGCCCCGAGTGGAGATGACATAAGCAAACGTAAAAGCCCACTAGTGGAGTCTGATTGGCTTGGGTGGAGAATAGGGCTCACAACGACCACACACTAAGCGAATTCTCTTCTGATTTGGATCATCACTTCGCGGTTTGAGCCTTCTCCTTCGACACTCCGACCACCTAACCTTCAGTCGACAAATCAGTCAAAATGCGCGGCCCGTAAGTGTTATGAAATCGCCCTCTACATCACTATTTTTGCACACTGGTTTCGGCTTCCTGCTGGATTTCGAGTTCAACCAGTCACTACGAGAGTGATCAAAAATTTCTCGACTTGGAACACCATCACTAACAAGCATGTTCTTCACAGCGGAAAGCACCAGAAGCGCCTCAGTGCGCCCTCGCACTGGCTCTTGGACAAAATGTCCGGAACCTACGCGCCCAAGGCCTCCCCCGGTCCCCACAAGCTCCGGGACTGCCTTCCCCTGATTGTCTTCATCCGTAACCGGTACGCACGCGACACTATAAATTCCTCGACACGCGACGAACAACCACTGACATTTCTTTCGTTGATAGTCTCAAGTACGCCCTGAACGGTCGCGAGGTCAAGGCCATCATGATGCAGCGTCTGGTCAAGGTTGACGGCAAGGTCCGCACCGACACCACCTTCCCCGCTGGATTCATGGACGTCATCTCCCTCGAGAAGACCGGCGAGCACTTCCGTCTCATCTACGATACCAAGGGCCGTTTCACCGTCCACCGCATCCAGGCTGAGGAGGCTGAGTACAAGCTCTGCAAGGTCAAGCGTGTTCAGCTCGGCAAGGGCGGGATCCCATTCTTGGTTACGCACGATGCGCGAACGTGAGTTCCACACTCCACAAGTTCCGTGTCATTCAGTCGTTGGACCAAGCTTTGGTTGATCGGCGGAGGACAAGAGAACTTGGAACATCTATTCCATCTTTCTGGAAACAGTAGGATTCCATTCGATTAGGACATGGTTTTGCTAACTTGCGTTTTTCGCTCTACAGCATCCGTTACCCCGACCCTGCCATCAAGGTCAACGACACCGTCAAGGTCGAGCTTGCCACTGGCAAGATCACTGACTTCGTCAAGTTCGACTCCGGTGTTGTCATCATGGCCACTGGTGGTCGCAACATGGGTCGTGTTGGTGTCATCACTCACCGTGAGCGTCACGATGGTGGTTTCAACATCGTCCACGTTCGCGATGCTCTTGACAACCAGTTCGCTACCCGTGAGTCCAACGTCTTCGTCATTGGACAGGACAAGCCCTGGGTTTCCCTCCCCAAGGGTAAGGGTGTCAAGGTACGTTATCATTCTCCCAACGCTGATTCTCTGAATTTATCCTAACCTTATTTTCTAGCTCTCCATTGCTGAGGAGCGTGACCGCCGCCGTGCCCACGATATCGCCAACTAAATTCACAATATCTGATATTTGTGGAATAGCTGGTCGATTAAAACAAACACTAAAAACAGTAGCTGGGAAACGGCGTCTTGTCTTGCTTAACAGGCTTGAATAATGCTTTCTCGTAGTTTTCGAACCATAGCAAACAAAACAGGAACGGGTTAACCGCTTCGTTTCCGAGTGATATGATACCATTTGACGTTACCTCTTTTTCGAACGATTTAATGAGCGTATATTGACTTTATCTCCCTTGATCTTCAACACTACTTTCTGGATGATTAGCTCTTATGCTTTTGCTGTCTGGCCGCATTGTTCCGCTATCATCCCAGGCGTACTTTTATACATGAAGATCAAGGGAAACGTAACTTTCCTAATCTGTAGTCAAGATGCGAGTCTTTCGCCACCCAGATGCTACTAAGAGTGAAAACTATTAGCAACCAATCTAGGTCGCCTTCTAGATCCAAAGCTACTGCATACTAAAGCTCTGGCTGAACCCGTGAATAAGCGTAGGCCGTTTCAAATTGAGACTTCGCATCTCAACAGCAGAGAATGATGACCCACGAGATATACCTTGATTTGGTCTACAATACCAAAGGTCCATCATTTTTGATCTAATTTTAATATCTTTGTAAATACTCAGATGTGTACTTTTGAGAGAATCTACACAAATTAAACCCTACGGTACTTGAGTACATGTGTAGATCCCGCTTCAAAAATATGTTATATATTTCCTACATACTCATCTCCGGTGCAACCCCGTTAGCTCGAATCGATGAATCCATAACACCAACGCACCACCGCACCTCGGGCTATTCAATGCAACAGTCTTCCCGTGTCGGTGTACTATGTACACGTACGGAGGAAGGTGGAAATTACCAAGTCTCCGACCCAAAGTCTGAAAATGACGATCAGAGTAGCAAATCCTAGCACTGATCTTCTCGATGGGTGTTCTAATTCGCGCCCGCTCACACACTATTACTGACCTTAACCTAAGCAGAGCGTGTCGACCGCTAGTTATAGGTAGGAGATGACAACCATCTGCAGAGGTCAGTGGCGATCATGATGAAACCAGAGGTATGGTGGCCCAGTTGATTTGAGTATGGGGTATTTGAATAATGATTAACATCCACATGCTGTGTCATGAAAATCGAGGTGTGTCCGGCATATGGAGCTAGCTTATGCGATGCAACAGCAGAAAGTGTCCGATGTGGAGTTATTGCAGGTTTGCTGTTACCGCCAGTCGACTACTCGGTCTCTTTACTACATGTATGTATATGAATCATGTGGGCGCTTGACAGGACTACTTGTGGAGAAAAGTAGGTACTTACATATACTTCCAAATTCCGTACAGTCAGGAACTATTTATAAAGGGTATATAAGCGAGCATATGCAAAACAAGCAAGACAAGCGAGAGGCCAAGAGTCTAAGAATAACTGATCTCCGGTGTCGGATTGAGGATCTTCTTATTCTCTATCGGGAAGGGCGGTTCTTAAAAGTTGTAGCGGCTCTGGAGACCATGGCTTCATAGGATGGGCGCTTGGTCCGTTCAATTCAAGCGCACCTACCGCATTCTCTCGAGGGATCACCGGGTAGATAGCAAGGGGCGAGAGAGCCAAGCGGCTCAGACATCCAGTTCTGGGAAATACATTTTCCTTAAATTTCTCCGACGGGTGGCGATCGTGGAAGCGGATGGGCGGGGAAAGAGAGGATAATCTGATAGATCCAAACTCAATCCTAGTACTCCGCCGTCCCACGTTTGGATATCTACCGGGGAAAATTTCTCCGTGTTCCAAGCGCCATACTGTTGGTAAGATGCACGACAGGACGGTGCGGTAGGATTCCTGACCCATCACTTTATGCAGCGTGGAGAAAGGTGAACTGGCCTTTTGCAGGGGGTGGGACCCGGTATCGGATCCGAGAAGGAAAAGGCAAGGCGTAATAACTAGTCACCAAGTTGCAGGGGGATCTTGCCTTGATGCGATTATATCGCTTCATGACTGCATAGGTGGCTGGCTGTACGGAGTAGTGGCTGTCATGTTAGCATGGGAATTTGGAATCTGAGCTACACAAGACGCAGAAATGGGCATACTATCTGGGGGATGCAGAACAATGCAGTTATTGTGGATCATTCTTAAGCGAGCATCCCTGGGACACCAGGTACTTTTGTTCCAATGCACAATCGATCAATCAAGCTCGTATGAAGCGCCAGCGATGTAAAGCGACAGAAGTGGAGCCCCAGTGTACAAGCTGCACTTGAAGCCAGGTATTGTATCTAATTGTAGCGAGTCGGTTCTTATGTGTCGGAAATGCAAATACTGGGTCTAGAACTTTGTCATTTTAGCAGTCTCTGCATATGCTGCACAATTATTATAGACGGAACTTTGAAATAACAATAAGATCAGCAAAACCCAGAAGCATCTTATGTTGTAGATGCTTTGAGATAATATTTTCATAAACTTTGGGGGTCTCGGGAGATCCGTCCCAGTTCCAAGGCCCTGGGTCTAGGAGAATGACATTTCACGTGGAATGACATTTTGACTGCTGAATGATTGGATTGGATACTATACCCATCGTAGAATTACTTACATAGTACTTTGTGCTCCCATTGTACTTGCTAAGAAAAACAAGCTTGGAACTGGTGGAGATTAGTTCTCACGCCGGTAGTGGGAATGTGGAACGATCATAGAAGCTAGGAATAAATTTCAATATTTAGACGTGAAATGTTTGATATAATTTGACATTACACCTCTTTGGTCTAGCGGTGTAAGGAAATCTTGCAAGGATCGAGTCAAAGGATGTGTTGAAATGAATCTTGTTTTTAATTGAACGAGAGCGGAACGCTGATCTTGGATTCTATTGTCAAAAATAATGATATAATGACATAACAATCTATTATATGATTTTAGTTCAATTCCCGATTGCCGTCTGAATTGGAGGTTTGCCTAGAACTCGGTGTGTTTATGCTTATATGGTCCACATATCATTCTCCCCGGTAATATTGACGGGCAAACCAATCGCAGACTTCCATAAAATCCATAATAAAAAGTTCTAAAACGTTCCAAGGTGTTCCATTATAGTATTGAAACTCCTTGAGATCGTCGGGACTCCACATTGGCATCTTACGGCCACTACGTTAGCGCCCATATTTGTGTACATACTAGTACATATGAAATCATTCTGGACCAATCTGGACCAATCTGTTTGAGAGATGTTAGAGATCTCCACATTCCGTTCCCCTTGACCGACTAATTATAAACTTCCCAATTTGAAACTTCCAGAATAATCCTCTATTAAGGGTTGACCGCTTCTCGATTCATGACTCTCCACTTGTCATATTGTTAATTGAGCCAAATCTATTTCCCTTTCTGCAGCCCAACGGCCAACGGGTGTTCGGCATACAATTTCGGTAACCAACAGAGAAGCCCAGCTTGCAGATCTTTGGAGTTGACCAGTTTCTCCCCGATCTCCCTGATCCTAGAGACCCGAAAAGAGTAAGCCTACAATCCCGACAATATTTCCCCCTTTCCCTTCCCGTCGGGAGCCTTCTAGCAGCCTGGAAACCGGGATTAGCGCTCCGCTTGTTAATGTGCTCAGAGTTCTCTGGCCCATTTTCGGCCCTCGTGATGTGTCGAACGTGGCGGAAGTAACAGGGATAAAGAGAATTCCATCCTGGTCTCACCTTTAAAACCAATCATCCTCATCTCTCCGGGCAACCCGCTTTATTATCCATGCGTTATTTAGTTATTTCTTTTTCTCTTTCCGTATACTCCCTACCTCCTTCTCTCACATCGCGTCTAACATACACCTCTTATCCCTGCCCTGTAATTACTCTATTCAAGCGCCGTGTTACATGAGCGTCAGCGTGTACTTTGCCTGATGTGTTGGCCTTGATTTTTTTTCTTCCCGGTGGTGACTGCATAAATGCAATCGATCAGCCCAGAAGAATCGGCTTTTGAACCGCCTCCCCAGATATTTTTCACTCCAGGGGATAGGCAATACTCGTTACTGAAGAAGACCATGTCTTCTCAATCTAGCATGACGACCTCGAACCCGGGGCTTTCTTACCCGTCAATTTTCCAACTAAACCTGGAGATTCCCTCCTTTTTCATGTCTTATCGCTGGTGGGAAGATGAAGCGACAACTGTGTTCTGGGCATTCGATATCCAAGAAATTAGTCGTGTGATCCAATTCGGACTCTTTCGTGACGAAAACTTCCCGAGGACTTCGCTTTGCGCTCGAAATGTGGACACCATTGATACCTTTTTGATCGCGCTATCCGAGCCCCATGAGTACCAGCTCCTTGGGAATCTCTCCCATATACAAAGGGTGGAGGAGATCCTACGCCGGTCGAGTATCTCTCCTTTCCAGGCAATTCCATGGAGTTGGCTTCCACCGCAATCAAGTCCTACACTAGATGCGCGGGAGATCGCTGCCGCAATTGAGGCAGAGAGCCATTTTCACTTCAAGCAGGTTGCCTTCGAAGAGTTTGTACGTGCTGCTCTCGGATACAATGCCGTCTTTGTGGAGTGGTTTCTGCAGCAGCATACGGCTCTTTATATTATTCTCCGCGACCATTTGAATGCCTATCCGGAGGACATCCCTTTGTACACAGAAGTGGAAAAGGTACGTTCTTTAATTTATTCAGCTAGAGCCTACGAATTATCATATAGAGCCTGTGCTGACTTCTATAGCATCTTCGGTCGCGGAGTCCATTTGCACACCGTGCACTGGCCCACTGCCTTCTGGCTGTGCGAACTGGCGGGAATCATGACATGTCCAAGCTCAACACCGCTGGATTTGAGTTCATCGCAGGCCCTATTCAGGCCTTATTCAAGGACCAACCAGGAAGGCTCACTGCCATGCTCAAGATGTTGAGCGTTCTGGCAATTCGATTTCGCCGACGATATATTCATGCTCCTACGATGGATTGGACGACTCCATTTGATACCTCTATTCCTTTCCTGGACGATTATCTCGAGTCGACATCTCCAACAGACTTGGCCCGCAGCATGAGAGGCCTGGACGAGCATCATTTTGCCGCATTAACAAGGGAAAGCCTGATAGCAGAAGATGCTGTCGTGAAACAATTACAGATTCAATGGTGTGTACTGAGTAATTCTGCCTGGGAATGTTGCGCGGCCCTTCCAGACCTGGTTCCATATCTGCAAGAATGTGCACAGGTAAGCGGTCTTTACCCTAAAAGTCGCCAATGTCCTAAAAGGTCAAATCCCTCTAACTGTACATCTGAACAGTCCCTCTTAACAACCAGGAATTATCATTCTCTTACGGCTATCACCAAAGGCTTACACACCTATTCCATTTTAACAACGCGCACCGCCAATACCGCTACCGCTCCAGGAAATTTAATTACACTTGAGGCGTTGATTCCACAAGAAATCATCAACCTCATGAGCCCAGCTCAAAACTTTGCCGCTTATCGCCAGCACTACCAAAAATTCCCTGGCATTCCCTTCCTGACGCCTCACATCCACGATCATAAACAAAATGGCGAATCGGCCCTCCAACCGGTTTTTCAGTACCTGCAAAGCACCCAATAAACCCAAAGAGGTAGTCACCAGATCAGCCTGCTTAGGCTTCTCTCCGGCTTGGGATCCGGTGAGAGAAAAAAAGCAACTTACCTTGGTGTGTGCTTGGCTTGTGTGGCTGCAGGGTGAGACCGCCTCGCGTGGGCCGTGGGCCGTGTGCTAAATATTGTTTCAATTATTTGTTTGTCTCTCTGGTCAGCAGCTAATGCATTGGTGGTGTGTTTTCCTTGGCAGTCTTACGATGGGGTGATCTACACCAGATGACCTCAAATGCTATATTTCATCTGTATTTCTACTCTGATACCCATGCAAGCATCGGGAAGCACCGGGGAGTCCGGCGTTGCGTTATGCTAATATGAATCTAATTTCTATTTTTTGTTTCTCGATGACATTCAAGATTCTATTTACATGCATAACAGCGAAACGCTCATTGCATTTGAAAACGTAACCAGGCCAGCCCATCTCATCCACCCTAACGCAGTCAAGCAGATCCAAGCATACCAGCAGATCCACCCAGCCACATCCCACGCACGCTCCTATCTCCTCTATGCGCCGACCAAGAATCTATGAATCAGATGAAACCCATTACATCCGAAGAGCCGCCTCAGGCAAGAGTAGGGCCCAAGTCGAACGGCGCCAATATGCAGTCTCACGCAAGGGAGAGGAGGTCGGAGCAAAAGGCCCCACCCAGAATTTCTTTGCTTTTCTTTTTGTTATACAAGAGGAGATGATAGAGTACATATATTGGTCTGGCCAACCAAAGCAGCATGTCACCTCACTCCTGTTTTGCAGCCGCCTTTGGCGCCTTCGCATAGCCAAAAATGCCCAAGAAATAAGCGATCCTATTGACGAATAGGAACGTTGTAATCCCAATGTTACCCCAGGTCAAAGCGTTCCATGCCGCAACGTCTGAAAACGCGTCCCAGCCCATCGCCAAGTATGTGGCGTAGACATGGCCTATATCGGCGATGGCCAGCCCGACCAAGTAGTTGCGTAGTACTCTTGGCTCTGTTGTGGCGTGACAAACACCTACGCCGACTAGGAAGAGAAGTGAGTAGATATTGCCGAGTTGGTAGGCGAGCGCGACGCTGCTAGGGTGCAGGGTGGCTGGGGCTGCGATGTTGGGTGTTTGCCCGGTGATAAAGCCTTGGAGGTTGTAGAGGGGGTATGCACTGCCAAGGGCTCTATGTTAAGGATAGTATGATCAGTAGTATTCTTGCGTAGGTGGAGGAAAGGGTTGGGCTGATCGTACAGTGAGATCGGCTCAAGAACGCCAAACAGGATGTGTGGCCATGTTGGGAAAATGGTGGGCATTTTGGGGACCTGGTGGCGTTCAACGTTATTCTTTGTTTATGTCTTCTTAATTGTCGTGCTTTGGCCCTGGCTGTAATTCGTTCGGAGCGGTCTGCAAAACAAAGCTTCGTAGCTTTACTTCCGCAGACAGGAAGGCAACTCACGTTTTTAGCGGACCACGACAAATACTAAGTCTAGAATTCCAATTATATGATAGAATTTGACCAAACCAAGGAGAGTCTAATGGGAGATCCTTTTGAAATGGAAGGGGTATCTCGACAGGATGGCAGCTGACGTAGACACCCCGGGGCCCGCTTTACTGGCACCCGTCACCGCCTGTGGCCGTTATCGCATGGATCTTATCAGAGCTTCATCTGTCCCCATGGATATAATGTCAGGGACATCCAGGATGCTATGAAATCTGTGATAGCTGGTCGAAATGGAATCTAGTGCCTTACGGCCTCTCGATGAATCAATACTCCGCGAACTCCCTCAACTCTCTCTGCGTATCGCCCCTCTCCGAGAACCAGTATCCTCACGAACCCTAAGCGTCCCATCACCCCTCGAACCCAATGCCAGTGGGGCACGGGACTCGAATAATATCTCCAATTCAAACAGAAATAGCGGGAAGATCTCAGCAAATGCAAAGGCAGGCCTACCGACAGTCACGGAATTTCTGAACGCTGCACGTATCAGGAAAACCGAACTTTCAGCAGACTCGCAGTCAAATGTGGAACGCCCCCCGAGGCCGATACTTCCGGCTTTTGTGAATCTTCGTGCCCTAGAGAAGTTTCATTTCTCGTCATCTTTCGACGATGACGCCCTCCAAGGGCCCCGCAAGCGTCGACGCCGAGACCCCCAGGCTGATTCATTCAGCGAGCATCTACAGTTGCCTATCCCCCAGGCCCAGAAAGAGCAGCGGCCTCCTCCATTTGGGCCATTTGCTATTTTGAATGGATTGAATGAGCCTCCGCCAAATGCTGCCCTCCTTCCACCCATTGAGGCTGGGTCCAATATCTCCCAGCTTTTGACCAAGCCCTCCGGAGGCGATGCTGGTGTTGACCCTGGGGCGTCAGTTTCGGCTCATGTCACGGTCCCAGATGGTCAACCTGCGGAAAGACGGGATGCTAGACTCGAAGAAATCCTCAGAACATCTCTCAATGGGGATGAAGACCATGATAATAATGATAATAATGAAAACGTTGAAAGTACTAACCTAGTGGACCCTGATGAGGTTGTCCTAGCTGTTCGTGAAGCAGAAATATCCAAGACCAACAAGGCATTGTCACCTCATCCTGGAGAAGATGCGCCAATGTCTCCCAAAACTCGCGGCCGGTCCCGTAAAAACTTGAGGAAGTGGTCCGAAGAAGAGACGACTACTTTACTTCGAGGAGTGGTCAAATGCGGGATTGGAAACTGGACTGCTATTCTTGCTCAACCGGAACTGGAGTTTAATCAGCGAACTGCCTCAAATTTGAAAGACAGGTATGCTCGGTTCTTGGTCAACTGTGTAGTCTTATGCTAAAGCTTCGCTATGCTGAAGATTTCGAGTTTTATGTCCATGGGCGTACCGGTAAGCAATGCCCTCTGAATTAATTCATTCAGGATAGCTAATATTACCACAGCGCATCCGATCCCAACGAAGCTGCGAAACAACTACACGACACTCTCGCTAACGCCCTACTCAAAGCCAAAGCAGAGGGCTCCGACGAAATACCGGGGAAAATCCATCTCTCCCATCTAGGGCCCTCCAGTCAAGGCTCCAAGTCAAAGTCTGGAGCAGGGAGTCCAGCTTGCAATCCACAAAAACCCTCTATCTCGAGTACCGTATCATCTACGCCCGACACAGATCCCGGTAGTAGTAGCATTGCCCAATCACAGTCACCCTCATCAGGAAATAGCACACCCGCTTCTTCAAGCAAGTCCCACATAACCCTCGCATCTCTTGGAATCCCCGAACCACATGTCGCAAAATCCAAACGTCGCTCTCGACGACCCTTCACAACCACCGAAGACGAAGCCCTCCTAAAAGGCTACGCAGTACACGGCTTCCAATGGACCCTAATCCAACAAGATGCAAGATTGAATCTAAGCCACCGCAAAGCGACAGACCTTCGCGATCGCTTCAGAACTAAGTTCCCACACGCCTATCGCGACGGCGGTTCTGTGAGCGGCAAAGCCCTCACCAACAAAAACCAGGCCCAAGAGTCGGCTGTAGGAGCGTCGACACCCCGTCCCCATCCTGTCAACACCGAACAATCCCCAAGCAAGGCTCATGCTATGACTCCGACTCCAACTCCCACTACCATTCCCCATAACTCGGCCTCGAGGGGTCGTCACGCTGCTACCCCTTCGCAGTCAAATCTCGCCCAGGTTGATCCCGCGCTCTTACCGCCGCCTCCGCAGGGGTTTCTGGAGCACCCGATGTATCTTCCTCCTGCAGCCGCGGGTGTGCTTTCTTTCTCTTTGGATGATGGCTCTGGGGCGGGTGCTTCTTCTGCGGTGGAGACACCGTGGGAAGATAATACCCTTGCTCCTATGATTTGGGATGAATTGACCTAGCCAGGGACAAGCTTTAGATGTGCCATATTGTCAACACACGTCATGAACTCTTGAATTTCTTTTGGTATTTCTCTTTTGTCGTTTCATCTTCATCTTCATTTCTTTTTTTTTTTTGCTTAGCGTTTTTGGTGCTCTGTGTGGCATTACTACATCATCTTTATCTTTCTCTGGTCTTCTGAATTGTCGATCTATATCCCACAGTACACGATGGTTTTTGCTTTTTTTTGCCAGAGTTTCTGTTCAATAAAAGTTTTCTTTTCGCAAATGTCATTGACAATCAGATTTACAAGGAGAAAGAGATGCAACAAGATAAGACCGAAATGAAACAGTAATCGTAAATTTGTGGAAGAAGAAAAACCAGGAAACAGGGCCTGTCCAATTAAGATAACAAAGAAACACTGTACTTGCTTGTATTTGCATTTGATTGGGAAGAAAGAAGCGGTAAATTCGGATATCAAACGAGCATAAAAAAAATTCAAGCAATGATCGTTACATAGCATACACTGCGGGTACCCATTTTCAATCGCGAAAGATGTTTGCCGTGGAAAGGATATGAGAGAGCGGGGAAGAAGAAGAAAGGAGGGAGAGATAGAGATAAAAGTGAGAAATGAAGTCTGAAGAGGTCGAATGAAAAGTCCAGCCAACCCCAAGAAATGAGGCATGCTTCTCGTTAATGAATTAATGGCGGAGGCAATAGTCATCTACCACGCATTGCGGTCCCAGTTGGGATCTAAAAAATGAGCATTAGCGTATGTTCAATAATACATATCCGTACAAGTGACTAGAATAACTCACCTTGTATGTAGCTGGCAAGCACCTTACTCCCCGTCTGCAGAAGAGGGTGTCCGGCGACGATCTGGAGGAAGCGCTGCAAACCCTCGCGGCGGTGCTCGATGACATCGTCACTGAAGCGGTTCGTGAACACCTTCCCGGGGAGCGGGGGTATCGTGACGCGCGTGCTCTCACGCTCCAGGATATCGCGGAAATACTCGAAATCGGAGTACCGGCGGCGCACGACGGAGTGTTTCAATTTGAAGGCGGGGATGTTGGTCCGGCACACAATCTCGTACGACGTGTACATGTTGCGAGATGTGCCATGGGTTTGCGGGTTGCGGACCTGTTGCGGTTGTTAGTTTGGGGTGCTCGTTTGGTGTTCGTTCTTGGTGCTTGATGGGGAGTGGTGACGCGGGTTTTGGGTGGGGATGTATGCTGATTAGGGGAGATAGATATGGACACGAGACTCTAGGGTATTGGGGTAGGGGATTGATTCGGGTGTGGGTATTTGGATTTATGCACCATGTAACTCACTTCTATCTCGAGGAAGTTCTCGGGAGGTCCGTAGATCTCCTCGAAGGACTGCTGTCGCGATTCTGGGACGGACTGCATCGTGGTGGGGTTGGGGTGATGCGGAGGAGAAACTGAAGGGAAGGCGAGCGGGCTTTTGTACTGTAAATGCTCAAATATGTGGTTGGCCTGGGTTATTCAATTAGACAGCTTGTCTCACTCTAATTCTCTGGAACTGAACACCACAGAGATCCAAGAACCGAGCCCGGTAGTTGGAGAAGCATCTCTATCAGTGGAGACCGGGGAAATAATTGATCCGTCCTTTTGGCTTATCTTTCTGACAGCCGTTTTCTTTGAGGCTGCTTGCTACATACTACATCTATTTCATAACTTTCAATGCACAGGATTTACTCTATAGCTTTTAGACTAAAACCCATTTAGCGTGATTATGCCATATATTGTATGACCGGTGACGACCAGTCTTTTCTTTCTAAATGATTAAGAATAACTCAACTGTCAGTTCCTATCTATATACCTTCGTCGATTTATACAATCGATGATCATTCCCCGCAATATGATGAGATCCTTGGCTTCCTTGTGTATATTCTCCAGGATGTTATAGCTGCATGTCTAACCCATTCAAGGAAGTCCTTTAAGCACCCATATGTGAAGGAAGAATCTAATGCCAGTAGCAAGATTTACCTTGACGATAATAATGACGATGATATAGCGGATGCTACCTAGCCGTTTTCTTTACAGCTCACACATAGTATAAGGCATGGTGGCTTGTTTTTATTATTATCATAGTGTTCTCAAGCTGACGTTTGCATTTGCCAACCTTTACCTGACGTCTCTACCCATGTAACCCTAAACAGCACACATATATTGTAGTAACATACAACTACTTCATAAATGTCTCTTTAGATTTAGATATCGGGAGGGAGCTTTGATCAATTACAACCGAGGGGCCTGAGCCAGAGTTTCTATCAAAACTATTCAAAGAGATTAGGATGGTGCTTTCGCTCGCCAATATAGGTATGTCTCCTGCATACCATGCATATGCAAAATTCAGAGATGGATCTACCACAGGTTTCTGCTTCCTACATATAATGTGCCCGCCCTGGTTCTTGAAGGGTAAATTGAGTGCCATACTTGCAGGAAACGATGTGATTCAATCGCACCAAAATTACAAGGATGGAGCGGGTAGCACCAAGAAAGTAGCACAGCTGGAGGCAAATCTAGAATAGTAAATCCTAGTTCGGAAAGGGTAAGTTCTGAGTCAAGTCAATGCTTCGCTTTATGCTCTGAAGATGCTTATTGCAGACATTAGGCAGTGTGCCGACTTTACATATTCATTATAACCTATAGATATTTGTAGAGGATAACCCTTTGCATTGGAGAGCAAATCCTATAAGAATATGTGGTATATTGGGGTGCTTGAAGATTAGCAACAATGTTCACCTTGGATCGGCGATAAGCCTCGGAGTTAACATGGCATGACATAACCCAAAACGACCTGGCGGTGACCGAGGTCCGGACTTATCAACTATGTATCGATAAGCACCATATCCCCTCATCTACCACTACCACAGCGATACACCATGAGTTCAAGGACACCTGATAATGGGAGAGAATCTCCAAGGGGTTCAGAAGGAATCTGGCATCCTGCCCGCGAATGGCTGGAAGAGGACGAGCTGGATACCGAATACCACACCGCGCTAGAGCCGTCCAGAGACGATGGCGCACGGGGGGACAACATATCCAATGAAGATCAGCAAATGAGGTTTGGGGTTGCAGATGGTAAGGCTAAAACCTAGGCTCTCAGATATTATACAAATGGGCTAATCATGTTGTTGTGATAGATAATTCCCACATCAGCATTGGAAACATTCAGATCGAGCTCACAGCGGACGACTCGGACGAGGGCGAGGACACAGACGACCTGAATGAGGGGCGCACGCGCGGTATGCTGCGCTGGAAATTCCCAAGATGTCTCAGTACAATTTCTCACGGATTACAGTACCAGCTTCCCGATTATTTGAGTTGCTTGCATCCAGTGGTTTACAGCATATCCTTCAAGCCAACGGCTGGCTGACCGCCATGGAAGAAGAACAAGAGCAGCTGGAGCATGAAGAGGATGAGTTAAGCGACCAGGATTTCATGCCCGGTTTCCGAAATCACCTCCGCGCCAGACGATCTGCAGAAAGGATCACACTTCCACCGGTTCCTAACCCGGAGGGCAAGAAGTTGATGAGCGAAGGCCACTTCGGAACTGACCAATTCTTCGGCGACCGCCTCAGACAGCGCAAGAAATTCTTAGCGACCAGCCTGATGTGGCGAGAACTAGGCATTGATACTGATGGAGTGCGGAAAAGAGCAGGCCAATCTATCTCACAGGTAGGCTGAGTGTATAGTCCGCGCGTGGGTAATTGTAATGAATAAGACTAACGCATACGTTTGGCGTCTGCTAGGGCCTCATTCCAAGCTCAACTGCGGACAGGATCATTCACTATGACACGCGAAGTTATTCAGGCCAGTTCTCGGACGATGGGAATTTCTTTTTCTGTTGCGCACAAGACTTCAAGGTTCGGATGTACGATACATCCAATCCGTACGACTGGAAATACTACAAAACCGTCGATTATCCGTTCGGTCAATGGACTATCACCGATGCGACGCTAAGCCCCGACAACCGCTTCCTTGTCTACAGTTCAATACGAAGTCAAGCATATATGGCCACCACAGACCCAGAGGACAATTCAGATCCTACCGTTTTAGATATGTCTACTCCGCCGGGCCAAAGTAGAAGACGAGGCTGGGGTGGCTCACACTTCGGGGTATGTGAAGATAAGCTTTAACTGGCATTTCAGTAGTTAACCTGGTGCATTTTTAATAGATCTGGTCTCTCCGTTTCTCTGGAGATGGACGCGAGGTTGTCGCTGGAACATCAGAAGATTCGGTCATCGTTTACGATCTGGAAACACGACAACCAGTTCTAAACCTACGAGATCGGCACCAACACCATGTTAATGCTGTGTGTTACGGTGACACATCATCGCCGCACATTCTGTACTCTGGATCAGATGACACGACAATTAGGGTTTGGGACCGACGGTCAATGGGCGATGGCCGTGAAGCCGGTGCCTTCATGGGCCACACCGAGGGAGTGACGTACGTTGACAGCAAAGGTGATGGCCGATACGTCTTATCCAACAGCAAAGACCAAACGATGAAGCTGTGGGATCTGCGCAAGATGATGACATCCGCTGATATGGAAAACATCGACCCTGTCGACTATACAACCGGCTTCGATTACCGCTTTGAGCAATACCCAGACCAATACCGCAGAAATGCCAAGAACGACTGCTCTGTTGTTACATATCGGGGCCACCGAGTCCTCAAAACCTTGATTCGCTGCCACTTCTCGCCACCAGGAAGCACAAACTCACGTTATGTTTACAGTGGCAGTGAGGATGGTAAGGTTTATGTGTACAACTTGGATGCTACCCTAGCCGGCACTATCGATGTTGGCCAAGCAACACTTAATTCGCGACCGCGTGATCCAGATGCATATGCTACAGCGTATGAGATGAGCGGGGAGATGCTATGGAGGACTTGCGTTCGGGATGCAAGCTGGCATCCGAGTGCGCCAGTACTAGCAGGTAGGAACTATATCCTGGAACATTGTTTCAGTGAGCAATGCTAATCCTGTGTTCAGCAACTTCTTGGAATGGCTGGGGCTTGTCTACTGGTACTTGTACTGTGCATTCATGGAATGCTGGTGCCACTAAAGACGAGGGGGATCCGCCGGTTGGCAAGAGTTATGATGACAGACTACGATACATCCCGGAATTCGACGAATACCGCGAGAATGCACCACACGGTCGACCCCGGCGTCCATTGCGCAGTCGACCTGTTCGTCGATGGGTTGGTGATCAAGAATCAGAGGATGCAATATGGTAAGATACATAGGGACAATGTGACGGGGGATGATTGCTCTTTTCTGTCCAAAAGTATTCATGGCTGGCTTTTGATTCTGCACATCCTGGAGATATTCATTAACGTACCTTTGCAAATTACACACTCCCGTAGTAGTCAATTGCATTCATTTCATCCCGGTCTACCACTGTAGATATGACCTCGAGCCGTGCAGAAACTCAATATCGAGAAATTGTAGATGAAGTAAATGCTTGAAGGGTGTGGATTAAGTAAAACAAGGTCCCCTATTGATACAGGATGCGAAAAACGGTGGTATCTCATAGATAGCGATCATGCTCTGCCTCCTATCGCTCGCCAAAAAAAAGCGCCAAGTGGCTCGTGGTGATGGCCACGGAAATTCAAAACGTAAAAAGGAAAATGATTCGCAGTGTGGGAAGGCTCGTAGTCCAGGGCGGTTTGGGAGTCCCCGCGGGGTAGGTCGTGGTGTTTGAGATGATAAAGCGGTGTCCTTTAGGGTTGTCTGTAATTCAGGACATCGTGCCCATGTTGCTTCTTATCGTTCTCCATCTCGCCCCGTCCACAGAGGTTCCTCCTTGATCAACCTTTTCCCATCTCTCAACTTGACAGACAGATTTGGTTGCCTCTCCCTTAGGCGCCACCCACCAGCACTTGGTTGACGGGGATGTGAACTATAACAAGCAGGTTAATACAAGCCATGCATCCTGCGTGCGCGGATTGATATCCGTATTCTGAAACACGTACTCAGCTTGACAAAGTAGCCAATGGCTCCCTATCGGCGACGTCAGTTATACCGCCTTTAAGTACAATCCAGGGGTCACCACAATGGTACAGCACATACCATCACAAGGAAACCCATGCCAACAGCCTGGCTAATCTTGATGAATTCACGCTTATCGGCTATTGGAAGGTCAGCGTGTCACGGAACTTGCAAATGACTGAAATGACTATCGATCGACATACGCTTGGTGCAGCGGCGAACGAATTGGGAACCCTCCCGGATGAAATCCTTGGGGATATCAGCAAGCTCTTGGAAAGTCTCAGACATGATTGCGAAAGAAAAAAAAAGAAGACTGGAAAATATGACAAAATTAAAAAGCTGAAGAAGATGAAGTCGCGAACAAGAAGAAGAACAGGTGGTTTCTCCGGAATGACCAATTGGCATTTCTGGGGACTGGATAATATTTGTTCCACTCCAGCTCTAAGTCTGGCCCGGCCGTTCGCGATAACATCGCCATCGCTTCGCTCTATTCCAAGCTCAATCGTCAAATTACTGGCGAGAAGGAACTCACAAATTGATTGACAAAATCTACTCTCGGCGACCGCGCGTTATACCCCTCGCCGTCAACTGTTAACGCATCCTATTCCTTTCCCTTGTTTTCCTGCTCTCCTGTTCTCTAACCAAATACCCTCTATCCACATCTTCGTTTATCGTTGCCTGTCTGTGGCAGCCTGCGCTTCATTTCTCTTCTCTACTTTGTATCCGATCATTCGCGGAACAACCTTGATTCCCATTCTTCTGTACACCGCGTCCGCAGCTCGCGAAAGTCTTGTTCTACCGGAAGCGCTTTCTTCGCTTCGGATTGTACGTATTTTCTGGCCTCCTGTCTTCATGTCTCTCGTTCCTATGTTACCCTTCGGGGGTTTTGGTCAATTTTCCGTTCGCTTTACCTGTGAGGACTTGTCCAACGGGCTGTTGGGAGCTAATACGGGAATCGCGCTACCCCTGCACTGATCGCGGCTTTTTTTTTAATCATGTTCTTCTCAATGCTAATTGGTGGCTTGTGTCTGCAGACATGCACTTTTCTTGACTTGCTCAGAAGCGGAAAGAATCAAGAAGAATAAGAAGAAGGGCCTGTACTATCCAACTTCAGATACTCAGGCAATTTCAATACTTTCTTTGAGATCCAGTCCCCGGAAGAGGATACTAATTTAGTTCGCAATGGCTACCGACGACGATAACTTCGATATTGACATCTACGGCGACGGCACTTACAATGCCAATGAGCCCGGAGAGTTCAAGCAGGAGGATTCCGAGCTCGTTCTGGACGCCCCCGAGAATCAGCCTGAGCCCAGCACTGGATCATCCAACACCGTCAAGCAGGAGACTACTGCTCCCACTCAGAACCAGCAGCAGAACAACAATGGAGCTCCATCGGCCCCTCAGCAGCAAGCTCCCCACCACGGTCTGCCTGCCCCTCCCCAGGGGATCAAGCGAAAGGAATACGAGGACCAATCGGTGGATCCTGATGCCACAACTGCATTGCTGATCTCGGATCTATCCTGGTGGACAACTGACGATGACATTCGCGGCTGGGTCAACCAGGCCGGAGTTGAGGACCAGTTGAAGGATGTGACCTTCAGCGAGCATAAAGTGAACGGCAAGAGCAAGGGGTAAGATCATTTTATACTCGGTCGCGCGCTTACGCGCGTAAACATATCAAATATTAATTCTAACATATTAAACCCCCCCAACAGTCAAGCATTTGTCGAGTTCACCACCGCACAGGCATCGACCGCAACCAAACACAGCATTGAAAGAAACGGTGGTCCCACGCGCAAGCACACCGCGCACTACACCAGCCCACACCAGAACCCGTTTAAGACTCTTCCCAAGGATACCCCGATGCGCAATGCAGGCGGTCGTGGTGGCGGCGCAGCCCACAACACTGGCAGCAACCCCAACTACGGCATGAACAACCACACCGGTGGCGGATTCCGCGGCCGCGGCGGCTTCAATAACCGCGGCATGGGTGGAAACATGAACAACAACTTTAACAACCGCGGCAACTTCAACCCTATGGGTGGATTCCAAGGTGGCGGCGCGCCCAACCCCATGATGGGTGGCTTCCAGGGTGCCCCAATGGGCGGCATGCAGAACTACGGATTCAACAACCGCGGCAACATGATGGGTGGTGGCATGCGTGGCGGTGCTGGTATGCGCGGCGGTCGTGGCGGAAACGCTATGGGCGGTGGCCCCAACATGATGGGTATGCCTACCATGACTCCCCCAATGGGTGGCATGGGCATGAACCCCATGGCTGGTATGAACCCCATGATGGGCGGCGGCATGGGAGGTGGCATGGGGGGTAACATCCCGATGCAAGGTAAGTGATTCCGATATACTCGCTATTCTTTCTGTCCGATCCTGACCTTTTCTAGGACAACAAGGTTTCCAGGGCCCCAACCCCGGATTTAATCAGGGCTACTACAACCCTAACAATCCCAACAATCAGGGCGCTGGTTCCGACGCTGGTTCCTGGAATCCCCATGGTGCGAAGCGCAGCCGCCAAGACTAAGCAAACATTCGTTGCGTCTGGACCGGCAGACCATATTAGGGCTTTTTCGCTTGGGAATTCCGCGCGCGTCATTTGGCTCTAGTGGTATCCATAGAGTCTCTTGCTACGGATCATGATGGTTATCAGTGCACGATGAGCTTTCTTCACATTTGAGAGATGATCTTCCATATTCATTGATGGTTGCTTTCTCATGCTCACGGAGGGAATTGCTGCCAAACTAGGGAGGTTGAGGTTGTTTTCATGATATCGTCTTACTAGTTCTGGTTCTAGCTACTCTCTTTCGTTTTTTTTTCTACGGTGTATTAGGATCTCTCTTCTTTTTTTTTCCATTTTCCATTTTCTAGACGCAGAGTATGTACGTACCCATTTAATACAAGTAACTAATTAGTTAGTCAGTTAGTCGGGTTGAGGGAGACTCCACGAAAAAGGGCATGAAGATATAACATTATCTAATATCATTTTCGTATCACCCTATCATGATTTGAGAAGCGATATATAATAATGATTAATATATCTGCAGGTAACTACCGAGTAGCGGGTACTAGAACATCCATGCTGTATGCTCGATTAACATGCGAGGTAATGCAATGCAGTGCCCCTGCATCAAATACGTGATCAACCTTGGTTTGATCATTAGTTTAATATATCCGCCTAAAAGAAGCAGAGTACACTTCAGCTCATATAAGTATAGAGTTTGTCATTTTTGTATATGCCCAAGGCAGACCAGACAGTATAGCCTGACAGGGCAGTGCAAGGCCAATGATAAATCCTGCACTGAGCAAGGGGCACACCGATTCTTAAAAACCCTATAGTGGCATTGTAGTTGCCTAGAGCCGACACTAGGGAGAGTTTTATAGCCCTGTCCTTTTTGTATGCCCAAGGCAGACAATACAGCCTGAGGGGCAGTGCAGTAAGGCTAATAATCAACCCTGGACTCAGAAAGTCGTATACTGATACCCAAAAAAGAAAAAAACCTATAGGGGCAGTGCAGTTGCCTGAAACCGATACTGGGAAGAACTTCATAGCGCGTGAATCATATTTCCATTCCGGGTCCAATCTTGTGATTCATAAATGTCATGTAAGTAGTAAGCCTCCCATGAAAGCATGACGACAGTATGTATCTCCTTGAGCCAAATCGAGCAGTGTAGACTTGTACAGGAGGGGTTTTGTGTATAATATAGCGCGATAATAAAACAATAAAAAATAGCATGATAGGAATAACAAAATAGGAAATATAACAAGATACCTAAGTAGGAACATGAAGGAAAATGGGCCAAACATTCAAATCGAGAAGATGCTGTGCACAAGAGTAGAAATCTGTATGAAAGGGGAATAGGGTACTTTTAAATGCCCAAAAGCCCATTGCGACCCTTCGACACCCAAGAAGCCTTGAACATGCACAAAATGTAGATAGATATCAATTCCAGTATGTGACCAGGATTAGAAACGAATAGTTTCTGGCACGTATCGGTATTTGTCCGGCTAGTCCACTGGGATATCTTCAATATAACCCAATTAAGCTCAAAACTGAATGACCAATCTTGCACCTCCTCAGTCCAGTCAAATGGTGGTGTGATTTCGGAACCGGAAGGCGATGTGGGAGTGAGCCCTTGGTCGGAATCGGAATCGGAGTCAGCATGCTCAGCGGAGGTGGCGTGAGGTGTGATTGAGTGAGCCTTCTGCTTAGCCTTTGACTGTGCTGCCGATACACGGAGTGTGAAAAGCTTCACGAAGACTCGTACCCGCGTTCGGAGGGGGTGGGTGGTTCCGCGCTCCGGGGTCATCTGGAATGCCATCTCAACTCGTTCGTTTGGCGATAGTTTCAACTTTGCGTGGGCTTTGTAGTCCACGGCGGGCACTCGCACACACGGGCATTGGCAAGGAGACACCGGCTGGGGGCTTTCAAGAATGGCCGAAGATCTTTTGGCTCTGAAAGCTAGATCTGCGTAGTGGCCTGGGGCCCCCGGAGCACCGGGGGTTGTTTCTCTTATTTCCTTGGCTTGCCCTTTGATGGAGAGCGATTTGCCTAGTCCAATGCTGTGAAGTAAATTTATATCACGTTCAACAACAGCCGACTTTTGGACCTTGTGGCTGAGATCACTCAGAATTGGGTGGTTTTCGGGAACCATTGCTACCATCGCATACCTGGAATCTGGGGTTGGATTGCCCATGTATGTGTTGGTCGTGCCGCCAATTGCGCGCGGGTCCACGTACCCCACGCCATTGTAATAGTAATAATTAGACGGTTGAGTGAGCATATTTTGCGGCGTTTCATAATTCCCCGATGGGGGCAGGTAAGACGGGTTCAGATTGTAGATGGTGGGAGAGACATCTGGGAGGGTTGGCGCAGGCGTTGTCGAGGAGGTTCTAACTTGGATAGCACTTCTAGACATGCCACCGCATTCGTGACAACCACGAACCGATTTGCACAATTGACATGTGGCCATGAAATGCTTGCATCGGCGACATTTGTTCGGATCAGGGGCCTTCTCTTCTGCCGGCTGTTTCTGTTTGTCCGACCGCTTGCGCTTGGTCGAAGGATTGGATCGTGGCAATCCAGGGTTTTGTGGGGGTTGAGCTCTGGGCTGCCCATCGACTCTGGGGAGGTGGGTCCTCGATCTGAAAGGTGGGGGAGGCATGTCACCCATCAATTGTTCTCCGGTGACATTGTTAGGTCTAAAAGCAGGCTGCACGTTGTTCCTCCTGAAGTCTCCGAAATTTGTGTTGGAATAAGTACCCCCAATCCAGTTATTCGATTGGTTGGATGGTTCTCCGCTCATATTGCTGGGCCCAGTTAAAGAATAACCTTGACAATGGCCAGGAGCATGGCCATTACCGTTCCCTCCATCGCCGCCACCATCGCCGCCACGGCGAGATGGATCGCCGTTGGTAGGGGCACTCAAGCCAGGGGAAACGAGACAGTGTTCCTTGATGTGATCGAAATAGGCACGCCAAGTAGGTGTTTCCTGGGGGCAAAGTGGACAGTTGGTTGGTGGGGCATATGTCACTCGAGTTTCCTCCACCTCAGCTGAGGACACATTGAATCTCTTGTGCCTGTGACGAAGATGATCCTGCATCCTATCCCGCCGCGCGATGATTCTAGAGCAATCTCCATCAGGACAGCGCCACCCGTGCTCGAGTATATCATGCCCAGCCAGGTGCCTCTTTAAGGTAGCAAAATGTGCAAAGGTTTTTTGATTCCGCGGACTACATACCCAACATCGAAATGCTTCTCTGCCTTGTTCTGAGGACTCAGTTGATGATATAGGAGAGGCTGGGATTTGTGTAAGAAAGAAGGTTCTCATTGCTTCAATGTTCAGCAACGCCTGAGAAACTTGACCAGGGCTTGACTGGCTAGAGCCGACAGCTCTGTAGGCATCGAGCACCTGGAAAAAGGCGCCGTCAATCGAAGGTTGCAGAGCGAAAGGGGCGCAACTTGGTATCCCCATTGCGGGCCGACCATTCCCTCCTGGAAGCGTCTGGACAGCCTGAGACGGCTGCAGCGCCGTGCTCTCGCTTGCTGCATCATCTACTGCTCTTTCCGTGACGGTTGAGCTTCCTAGATCACCTTCCAGGGTTTGAGGGATATCATCATCCGGCTCGTGATATTTCGGATCAATACCAGCCAGATCGCTATCGAATTTCTCTGGAAGTTCTGGCGCTTGACGACCGAGCTCGGGGTTGATCCATGTGAATTCCTGTTGGGGGAGGTCCGAATTCAAGCTCGTCACGTCAGCGGAAGATTGGACTTCTGAATAGTATGGACGACCCTGTCAAGGATTAATACTCTGAAGCTGGGGTCACTGGATCGATAACTCACATCATAGTCAGTCCACGATGAGGTAAAAGAGCCAGGGCCTCCAGGGTACTGCCCATTATTAAAAGGGGGATCCATGATGAACCAATCTCCTTGAGAAATCAAATGGTGTTAGAGCAAAGAGAGCTATCCTTAAAGCTAAGGAGGGAGGGAAGCGGAGAAAAAAAAAAGAAGAGATGGAGGCGCTGATAATATAGTATCGGTGCTCCGCCTGGGTCTGGGTATAGAGTGGGCGTCTTACATCAAATTAAATCAAATTAAATCAAAAAGCGCCTGGGCGGAATTAAAAAAGAATAATAAAATAAAAAACCCAAAAGAGGAATCATAGAAGGTGGGAAGTACTTGGGTTGTGGCCCAATCCAAGTGAGGCGGTCTCGGATGCGAACTGGTTAAAGGCAACCAATCCATTCGTAACTATTGAGTATGGATCTTCTACTCAAACAAGAACTCTTATCTCCGTAGAATATCAGACATTATGTTTTCCAGGACATTAGTGGGAAAGCCGGCAGTGCTTCGAAGTGGATAGGAGACTCATTATCATATTAAAGTCCATTGTGGCTTGGACTTAGTGTAGATCGTGCTGCTAATATAAAGTCCACCGAGTCTGGGGATTTTGAGAACGATGACGCAAGGTGCCCCACTAATATTCAGCGGAGAGAAAAAGGTGGAGTAAATGCCAATAACGAAGACAGATGGGATTGAGGGCATGAGAGTGCAGCATAGAGAATGAAGAAAAACAATTAGAAGAAAATTACAGGGCAACACTCAGATCGAACTCAATTATCTGACCAAGAATGAACGGCAATTGGGAGTGCGAAGTCCAAATGGAGCCAGAATCTCCGAATTACCCTTAATCTCATCCATTAATAAGTCAGGATGATATTTCCACCCAAACGGTTAAAGTCTCCTTCAAGTCTCCCGATTAGGCCTCGAGAAGCTCGGACGCTTAGTTTCACCGCTACAAGATACGAAGTAGACAATACATGAAATGGGTGAAGATATCATTCGAGAAAGGAGACAATAGAAGCCACCCGCTTATGCCCAAATCTAAAGATCATGGCATGCGGCGACTCCGAACATACAAAACTATGGATCATTGCAGTTTGGATCCTATGATGCACGGACCTATGGGTAAACTGCTTTGTTGGACGAATGATGTTCATCTTTGGGGGCTGATTTAATACATGAAAATGAATATATTTTGTTGCGAGAGCAAGGGCGGGGAAGGCAGTAATGGTGCTTTGAACAATAAGTCTGGAATCCCACCATTTAAACCCTGGAAAGTGAAGCAAGATCCTCAGGGTAGATAATTGTCCGGACAATTAAGAGAATAAAGTTCACGAGCAGGTGACTGAAAAGCAAGCTGCACTAGGATTAATGCTGCAAGGGGGGGGACGGGATTAATCAACTACCTCCCTCGGTATCTATGGATGACCAGAATATCAGCAAAGCTTTAGCTAAGATCTTGTTCGGTTTCTCATCGTTTCCAATGGTAAGCCCAATTTCCTTGTTCCTGTCCCAACCAACTTGCCTTGTGCTCGGACGACAATCATGTCCCTGATGTACTTTTGTCTTTTGCCCAGGGATCCCATGATACTCGCCACTAGTCATCCTCATTTTATCCCTTCACTAGATGTTGGATATTATTACTGCTTGTTTGATTGTTTTAGGTCAAGGCTTATTTCTTTTTTTTTTAAAAAAAAAAAAAGGGCGTAGAAGAGGTTCCGATCAGGGGAAACAGATCTCCAGTCTTTGGATACGAACAATTACGCATAAACCCAGAGAGGGAGAAAAAAAAAGAAAAAGAAAAGGATTAATGCAGGGCGGTACCTGCAGGTAGTAGGAAGTGAATTGTCTCTACCTGGGAAGGTTTGGATCAAAGTGGAGAAACGGATCAGACCGAGAGGTTACCATCTACCATGGTTCATCCGGAGTTTGAATGTAAGATCGAATGATATTTCGACTTTGTTGGTCAATACTCGAGGACAATTTTGGAAGGTTTTAAGGTGGAACAATATCCTATTGCTCGCTGGGACTAGCAGAAATGATTGCTGTGATCAAGACAGTTACGTCGTGTCATATATCACCCAGCTACAATCGCCTTCTAGATCTGGGAAAGAAAAATGGGAACAAACAGAACGCAATCTAAATATCACTTGTCTATATGCATGAGCTCGCCCCTATACTTATAAGAAAATAAAAAATAAAAAAAGAACGAAACACAAGAGGAAAAAAAAAAATCAGTAAGACGACCCCAGAAGCCCCACTCCCAAACCGTTAGCCAATCTACCAGGTCCTTCCCGTCTAAGAAGTAGTCCCAACCAAAAAGATGAAACCAAACCTCCGATCTTACTTGTCGGGAAACTCCCCAAAATATTCATGTACAATATTCTGATACAAAGCCCATGACCAAGCCTAAGTTTGGGACGAGTAGGCGGCTTTCGCTGGTGACCATGGCTCCGATGAGGCAGGAGCCTGCGCCCAAGCGTCAAGCATATATGGGCTTCCCTCCTGCGGCTCCGGGCCGGAGGCGAGCAAAGACTGCGAGGCGTCATTGTTGCCGAGGGGAGTGGTGTCTTGGCCAGTGGAGTCAAGTGGCTCGCCCGCGAGGAAGTCAGACGACAAGTCTCTGAGCGAAAGTAAAGGTTAGCAAATAAAACGAGAAAACAGACAATCCGGTTCTTGGTGGAATGACCTCAATGACAACGGAGTTGAAAATTGAGGTTGCCGGGGGAGAGCGTGTATTGATAGTACATGCTACCAAACTAGATGGCTTACTTTTCGGAGCTCATTTTGGCGCTTATGAAAAGGATTGGGGTGTCAAAAGAAGCGGTCAACACGACGTTTGAGGGAGAATGGAATAATGAGGATTGATAAGTTGGTAGCTAGGGAAGCTATCAATGGTAATGCAAGAAAGACCAGTTTAATAATTGCCGGTGCAGATTCCCGAAGAAGTAGTCGGGGCACTAGATGTGAGCTTGTAAAATGGAAATGCGATGACTCTTGAGGGGAAAGATGTCCAGATTTAAGCCCGCTGAAATAGACCTCAGTACCTACGAAGGAGTAGAGCACCCGGGTGCAGAGGCTCATCTTGCCTGGGTGGGAGATCTAGGGTATTTGGTATTTTTATGGGGGCAGTGACGAGGTTAGATGGAGAAAATAAGGTGAAGGGTCTACGATCGGATCGCCATACGTATGTATGGAGTATCCAGACATATTGAAGAATATTCTTTTTAGATAACTAATCAACACCTAGGCATCCACCTGCATGGATGGTATGGTGCTGACTAACGCGTTAGAGCTAGGTATCGAGCTTAGGAGGTAATGTGTATCTACCTCACCCCCTCTGATTCTGTGCAAAAGAAATAATAAAGGGAGGAGGTTACAAAATGATAAGTCTGGCCCCGGGCCTATTATCCCTGTATGAGCATGTATCATGTATTGGTCAAAGGTCATCTGTCCACGGAGTATGTAGCAATAACTATGGTTAACTCAATTTACCGAGTAAGCCTTGCTGAACTTGGCCCGGGTGTAACATAGGTATTATGCGTCTACTCGGGAATGGATGTTAAAAAATAATTTGATTTAAGTATGAAGTATGACCCAGGCATAAGCAAATGAAGAAGCGATCGTTCCTGAAATCTCCATCGTCAAACTAGTGTGCGCACCCCTGTTTAAGGTGATGCGTTGCACCTACCCCGGACAACGCCATGTCGTCATCAGATGAAATCTATAGAGTTCTGGAGCAGTGTGGCTGAGTCCGTATAATTCTAGACTTTCATTATCCAAGGTGTTTCGGGTCTATAGAATCATGTAGGGTATATGCCGAGTACACCGTGTAATGACGGGCGCACCTAGACGCCCAAATATCACCATCACCATCACCATCACCATCACCAATCTACTTCAATTCACAAGCCCGTCTCGGGTTTGTGGAAAGTCGGTGTAGGGGTATACACACACACTAGCAATTTTATCACGCCATTTTCAGCACAGTGCATCAGAAAGGCATGGTTCAAGAATCTAGACACTTGACACATTTTATCAGAAAATATATATCCGAGAATGTGACCCGTCGATCTGTAAACTCGTGGGATTAGTTCGCCGCCACCGTTTGTAGGTTGTGAAATTAAAAACGAGGTGGATGATCATAGAGTCTAAGCCCATGCGCAACAGAATGACTGCAGGTCGCGAAGAGTTTGCCCCATCACAGGAGAGAAAGCACATTCGAGAACAATCCTTGCCATTTCTGCATGACTTCAAATATGATTGCTCACATTACAAATTCCTAGGAACAAGTCACAGAGGCTATGCTATCCCTATAACTATGGCTTTCTGGTTGGGCTCTTGGGTTTGATGCCCGGGCTGTAAGGAGTCCGGCGTATTTCCTTGTGTTTCGGGAAAGCAAAGAGTCTAGGCGTCTATGTAGGCATTGAGGTTATGGGAGAAGGATTCAAGCCACAAAAGGGGTTGGGTTTAGGCACAAGATACACTCTAGGCCGATCGAGGTATAGTTATAAGATATAAAATACAAAACAATAGTATCGTTTTCTCCACTTAATGGCCCCCCTTTACGTCATACAGTTGGATCCTGAAACACGAGGGTTCGTGTTCGTGGTGTTCGACGACCAGCTGACTTTTCTAGAACCTTTCCAGGTTGGGCCGGGCACAGAATCCTCGATACCTCTTCACCCGCCCCAAGGTTCCACTCGCAACGCAAAGACAAAAGCCAATCACCAATCTGGGAGACCAGGACTCTATACTCCATACCACTCGGGTGCTTTGATCAGAAGATATGGAGATGAATGAGCGAAACTTCCATACCGCAAGCCCTTAGACAAAATCTAAGACTTTTTTTTTTTTTTTCAAGCAGGGGCAAGAGATAGTCCATCATCGGGACTGGCTACAGGCTGCCAATCACCGCTGAAAGCAGGGGGTCTGACAAGAACATGAAAAGCCTATACGGAGTACACCACCAAATGTCGATCTGTGGCTTTTTAGTTTCTGGTTCGGATCCTTCTCCTACACGATTCCAAGGTAGGTTTCGGGTTGAGAGAGGTAATACTGGTCAGATCAGAAAAATAGGAGTCGAGCAGAATGGGTGAGTGGGCGAGTGGGTTCTGGTGGTCATCGCCAGGGTACAACGGACTTCAGATGATTGCCCAACTTTGATTTCGGCCAGTGTTAGTTCGATTGTGATGGGATATGATGGTGGCGGTGCAGTTAAGGATTGCTGCGACCATGTATTATTACCCCCCCTATCTGCAATGCAACATTCCTGCATATCAATGTGGCCCTGGCATTGAAAAAAAGTACAAAGGTAACTATTGGGAACATTTGTGTCATAGGTTAATTGCTTTTTTTCTTTCTTTGCTGTGCCATGCCCACAAGGCCCAAAACATAAAGTTGCGTCGGCGCAGTGGGACCCAGAACGTGTCATATTTGATATCTGAAGTTCACTCATGTATTTAGTAAAGCAAAACGGTTGGTGTACTGCAGAATAATATGGCCCGATTTGGAAGTATAGCAGATTGTCAAGTCGTGCTCGTCAATCATCATCCGAGCTCACTGGAATCCGTAACCTTTAGATCTAGTTGGCAAGTATAATCATCAATAATTCAAGTTTGAACAATGCATGAAATACAAATGGCTCCGGGATGGGCTGCCGATCAAGGCCAAGATAGAGAACGAACAGAACTACGAACACAGGTCTAGAACAGTAGATCGAATCCTGAGTTATGCCGGAGCGGGAAAAATGTTGACATGAACTCGGAAATTTTTTGATTTTGTTTCATTCAGGGGAATCTATGCACAGGCGAGAGATGTGCCAGGGCATCCGAAACCCTTTGCGCTTCGTCTCATGTATCAAAGTCCATTTCAGTCTAGGCAAAAATGGAGCGAAAACCCAGTAAACACCTAACAACCGCACACACCGTTCCAAATCGATAACGAGCCCTTTAAATGTGGGTATCGTAGGCGATGGGGACAACGGTCTCGGGCTTGTTGCCAGCCTGCTTGACGAAGTGGGCCTCGCGGGGACCGACGGCCTGGCGCTTCAGGTGAACGTGGACACCCTTCTCCTTGGCCTCACGCTTCTTGATGGCGTTCTCCTTGACACGCTTGATGAAGTCCTCGCGGGAGCGGGAGTGCTGAACGTGCTCGATGCGGACGCTGATACGCTTCTCGAGGTAGCGGTTGTCGACCTTCTTGTAGAGGATGACACCAACGGCGGACTTGGTGACGTTGTAGACGACACCGGTCTTACCGTGGTAGACCTTGTGGGGCATACTGTTCAACTGTTAGATTCTCGTCTTCTCTTCCCGATTTCGCATTGCGTGTGGTGTATGATCGCAGCGGGAGCGCAGGGAGGAAGTTTCGGAATTTTACTGACCCCTTCTGGACGGCACCGTTGACCTTGAGGTCGACAATATCACCAACACTAAAAATAACCGTCAGATTTCAATTCTTGTCGTTTCATTCGAGATTCGATTGTGTTGAGCGTACCGGTAGGTCTTCATGTAGGTAGAGAGACGGATCATACCGGCCTCCTTGAAGCCACGGCTGAAGGCATACTGTTCATCATTTCGTTAGCACTTATCCTCCCTGAGGCCCCAAGGGCGTATTCGGTTGCTCTAGGTCGTGCTTCCAATATGAAAAAAGACGTGTGTCGTAGAGGGAATCAGAACGTACCCGAGTGCCGGCGCGCAGACCGTACGAGTGAGGCATGACGGCGGTGTTGTGTTTGGTGCTGGAGGTTAATTGTCGACGGGGGCCTTCAACACGAAAAAACGAGAGTGTCGGATAACAATTTGTGGGATGAGTGACTAATCAGCATATGTGGACCCTCGCTAAAAGAAAGCACACTACTCCGCTTTAGGCTTAGGCGATGTGTTCCGAATTGGGTTAGCGCGCGAATTAATATTCGGCCAATCAAAGCTTGAATTGGCTCAAGAGGTCGTTACCAACATGAACATGTAGTCCTCTTTCCTCTCCTTCCCTTCCTGTATCTATGTCAATTCTTCGCAAACGACTCTATTCCAAATGCGCTAACTTTTAACTAAACTGTATCTCAAGTCTATCCTCATGGTACGTTGTGTATTGGCTACATGAATCCTGCAAAATGGCGAGCGCGCAGGTAGTGTCGAGGCTGGCCGAGGAGATAATAGAATTATTTGAGCACATCACCAAGCTCTGCAATTGCCAAGTCCCATAAGCAGAGTGTACCTTCAGATTCTAAGCTTTGTCTACGGTGATCCTCCAACCCTATTTTCCGACACAGTCGGTACAATGAACTGATATGCTAAACACAATATCATCCTGTGAGAACCATCCAGCGGCTAGCAACCCTAGACCGAGTTCCAGTATATAGACCATTACACTACTCACAGGTGCTTGAACATCTGAGTAGACTGTCATTCTTCGCTAGATCATATCGGCCACTAAATCGGGATGCTGAGGAAAACAGCCTCTGCCCATTGATTACGATTGGTCAAATATGGAAGTTAAAGACGACTAAATTAACCTGAATCTTTTGGGCTCGTATCAATTTCGCCTGCTTGTTATAGCGCAGGAAACCATCATGCAAAACCCCAGTTTTGATGATCTGCCTAATGCAACATCAAAAAAGGTCCCTAGTTAGAGCGATCCATGAGAATGTCGTACAAGTCATGTTATGTTCGCATAGGTAGCTCAACCAATTCAGACAAATATAACTCAAGAATAGGTGCAGACGAACATGCCCAAGTGATTGACGGCCGACAATTCCTAAGGTTGCGAAGAGTGGGACCCATCTAGGACCCCGCCGGTAGAGGCTCTTGAAATTTGCATTTTAGATCACATGACCCCTTCTCAATTAGGACTAGCCCCTTAGGGCTCGCATCGCGCACACTCAAATTCTCAATTCGTCCTCGTCCCTTTCGACCTCCCGTCGACAACCTCCGCCCATCTAACCGCAGCTATGGCCCCGTGAGTATATCAACAAATCGAAGGCATTGCAGCGTTCTAATCAGTTTCTGTGCAGTCGCGTTTCCTCCAAGACCTACAAGGTCCCCCGTCGCCGTAAGTGAATTTCCATCGAAATTGACAATCTAAACGTGTAAAGGCTAACTTCATCACAGCCTTCGAGTCGGCCCGTCTGTTAGTACTCTCCGGCCACTGACCAGAAGCGTGCTTCTGGTTATGTCGTGTTCATAATTCCTAACCTTTTTTATAGTGATGCTGAACTCAAGACTGTCGGCGAGTACGGCCTGCGCAACAAGCGTGAGGTGTGGCGTGTCCAGCTCACCCTCTCCAAGATCCGTCGTGCTGCTCGGTATGTGCAACGAAAATTCGTGATTTTGCGAAGCTCCGAGCGATCGGGCCTATGCAGATCAAAATTTGGTGGACATGGCGCTAATTTTTCATGTTCTCCACAGTGAGCTCCTCACTCTCGACGAGAAGGACCCCAAGCGTCTCTTCGAAGGCAATGCCCTCATTCGCCGTCTTGTCCGCATCGGTGTGCTCGATGAGTCCCGCATGAAGCTCGATTACGTCCTTGCCCTGAAGGCCGATGATTTCCTTGAGCGTCGTCTCCAGACCTGCGTCTACAAGCTTGGCCTCGCCAAGTCCATCCACCACGCCCGTGTCCTGATCAAGCAGCGTCACATCCGTGTCGGAAAGCAGATCGTCAACGTTCCCTCGTTCATGGTCCGTCTCGACTCCCAGAAGCACATCGACTTCTCTCTCACCTCTCCCTTCGGTGGTGGCCGTCCCGGCCGCGTTCGCCGCAAGAAGGCCGCTGCCGCCGCTGGTGGTGAGGAGGCCGAGGAGGAGGATGAGGAGTAAATTATTCCCAATATTCCCCACAAAATGGAGTACGGTCGGGTTTCGCTTGGGGCGCCTTCACACCATGGAGGTTCAAAATGACTGCAGCATAGCGTCTCATGTTATACGATCATGCAATACAATGAATCAAAAACAGCCGAAAGGCTTCAATTTGGAACCCGATTTAATCAATTCAATTTCCATGCTTTTCCGTAACCTGGAATTATACTATGTGCCCCATGGACCCATATATGTACAGTAGATCCTAAACGCCATTTTTAGATCCCCACCCACCTAAGATTAGCTCAAACGTTCGTCCTTCGTGGCATCGTACACAAGCCTAGGCTTGGCCTGCAGAATATCATGTCTGTGTAGTCCCCACCAATTCTTTCAAGGTCTCTTCTGCCCCTCTGTACCAACGTCCCATCTCTTCTAGTCCATCACTTTCGCCCTGTTGCTTCTTGCGTTGGGCTTCACGAGCTTGCGCGATCGCATCTGACTTCCGTCGCTCAAGCACGGTGCGCTCTCTCTCTACTGCCTCGGCCTCTCGGGTCTTCCGAGGCAATGTGTTGTGCATAGTAGCCAGCTGACGATTCAATGCTGCCAGCTCCGCCTCACGTTCTGCCAATAGTGCCAAGGTCGCGGGAAGAGGAAGATTCTGCGACGAGGAAGCATTGTTGGGATTAGACGGATCCATGGTGGCTACCTGCTTGGCGCGGAGTTCGGCGATGGTGGACTCGAGGTTCTCGATTGAAGCAGGCAGCGTTGAGAGCTGTGTAGTTTGAAGTTCGACATTTTTGTAACCTATGGCCGCGGTAAACGCTTCAGTCAACATGTTCGTCGTCCACGCGTCATTGGTCACTCACGGCTTGCCAAGTCACGCCCCATTAGTTCCATCTCCTCAATCATAATCCTTGCGTCTTCTTTCCGTGCCTTGAGCTCGGCTTTCACGTCCGCTAGTTGCGTCTCCAGTTCCATGTTCTCATTATGGCCGACAATCACAGGTGGGTCGCCAACAATGGCGCGCAAGAACTTTTCTTTCGTTACTTGTTCGAGGTAGGAGAATCGCAGCTTGGAGAATAGTTCCTATGCGAAAATATCAGTATTTGCTGGTTTGGACAGCGGGCATTCGCGGTATTCGGGCTCATCGCGCGGACCTTGTAATGTGAAAGATCGGCCTCTAACGAGGCGGGGGTGGGATCATCAAAATTTGAGATGGATACATCGGAGGTTCGCTTTGAAGGAGATGGGTAAGATCCCCCAACTTCGGTGGAAATTGGCTCGCTGATGCGAATAATCGCGAGTCGGTTCTTCAAATCGCCATTCTCCTCCAACTGCCGGAGTGCCGCAAGGGCTTCAGATGACGAGTTCTCCATATTGATAGGGTCTGGATATTGATAATTTGGCTGTGAAAAGAAAAACCGCAAGATTTGCGATTGCTCGAAAGCTTGGAGGGGTCGAGTCCACCTGCGGCGGCATACAGTAAATAGATATCAAAGGCGGTCAGTCCAACGTTTGGAAGGCGCTTTGGTCTTCGCCTCTCTTGGTTTCCTTTCAACTGAAGAGGATTTCGCCTTTGTTCTATTTTAATATGGCCTCCTAGTATACATAATTGCTCTTAGTTTGCATTCTTCGCCTTCATCGGTGCACTCTTTCCACGTCCTCAAAGTGCTGCGATCTGCGGCTCAACTGCATCATGGACGACGATTATGTTGCACAGCTCCTGGCCAAGGAGGCTAAGGAGAGTTCTATAAAGTACGCGTCCCAAGGACTAAGTGCCTTTATGCCTTCAAGGTTGGTTTGGTCTCATGATCTTTGGTTGCATGGGTATACAACTGACAAACACTTGCAGACCGACAAACAATGCCCCAAAACCCAATACTCGCTTCCTACGAAATCTCATCAAAGTAACAGACAATCATAACACAGCTCTGAAGCTCAAAGAGGAAAGAGAAGCACGGGAGCGTATGCGCCAGCTGAAATATCAGGCCTCGGGTGCTTCAAGTGCTTTGGCTCCAACGTCGACACACCTTTCTTCCAAACGATCTGATGATCGTGAAGTGCGAGGATCAAGAGACCACCGGAGAGGAGATCGGGAAGATCGCAATCGCTCGCATCGAAAAAGAACTCGAAGTCGCTCCCCTTCGGCGGAACGAGACCGGTCGCGGAGGCATCGACGAACAAACGAAAAATATGACGGAACTGGAGAAAAAGACAAAGACCATGAACATCGGCGTGAGCACCGGGACTACCAATCATCTAGGAGAGATCGACGGCACAGAGATAAGGAACACACCAGGCGGCGACGTGATCGGTCATATTCGAGGTCTCCCAGCCGTTCTCCGCAAAGGGACCGAAGTACCGACCTCCATCGCCATCGAAGACTAAAACGTGAATACGAACATCGTACTCGCTCCCTTTCCCGTTCCCGCTCACCAGAGTCGTATAAATTTCGGCGATCAAAGCGGGAAGATGCATCGCCACATGGGTCCCGCCGTTCGCACCTTGAACCCAGCACGCGGCATAGACGAGCGTCGCCGTTTTCTACTATAACTGCACGGCAAAAAGAGACGGGCAACGAATCCGATCCTCTAGAAGACCTTGTCGGGCCACTCCCTCCCCGACAAAACGAGGCACCTATCCGTTCCCGTGGGCGGGGGGCCTATAAACACAATATGAGCAATATTGATGCTCACTTTGCACCCGGGTACGACCCGGCTACCGATGTGCATCTAGAAGAAGACAAATTACACTCCCTGGGCCAGGAACCCTCTCGTCGTCCTGTCGCGGGGCTCATGACAAAAGATGATGACTGGGACATGGCAATGGAGGCGCTGCGTGATCGTGAGCGCTGGAGGAATAAGGGCGAGGAGAGGCTACGTACAGCCGGAATTGACGAGGCATCCATTGATAGATGGAAGAATAACACCGCTTTTGCAAGTGTGGACCGAGAAGGCAAACTGGAGGACGTACAGTGGTCGAAGAAAGGCGAAGGACGGGAATGGGATCGCGGCAAGTTTGTCGACGACGATGGCCATATTGACATTCGGGCTGCTTGGTAGTGTTCCAAGGTTTCTTACTACATGCTTTGATCATTGGCGTTCGAGGACTGTGCTGTGGGTGATACCAAGGTGTATATTCTAACTTTGATTATTCTTGGCCTCAACTTCATGAATATTTTGGCGTGCCTTGTCTATGTTATACAAAATAATTATAAAATTCATGATTCTTTCAATAATTCGATGTTCTATAGTCATTGTCTTGGGTGCCCAGGTGAAGATATATATATTTCTAGGGAGGATAGCATAAAATCTCAAAAGGATGACGATTGATTTAGCTAATCATGTTTCTAAACAAGCACTTTGACAGCAAGCTAATTAATACTTGCTATTTTGTATACGCAGCAAAAGTGTAGTTGATGTACAATCCATCGATGTCTATAGTTGATCTCGATCCCCGGCCCGTTCCGCGGCTTTGTCAGAGTGCGGAAAATCCCCCGTTGATGATGATACTTCAGGTTTAACTGACGAAATTTTGGACACAAGCTAGTGCTTACTAGTGATACTTCCTTGTCCTCGATTATCTGTACTGATTTGAAACCCCGCTGACCAACCCAAGTTATACTGTGCACATATACCTGCAGTCTTGCACCTATTTCTTTACATCACCACTACTCTCCTCTTATCTTCTCTCCAATCACCCCAATCTACCCACAATGACAGACGCATATGCCTTCTCATACCCATCTCCATTGGAGGGGTACGAAAATCTCGAGCCACTGTCTGAGTAAGTATCCCATGTAACCACATCGCACTCAAGACGCTTATTCTCTGCTGCAGCGAGCGAACCGAAGATGGTAAATCATTCAAGAACCCCCAACATGGCATATTAAGCAAAGCCTACTCGGAATTCCCCGACCCTCTTTCCAAAGGCCGAGAGGGAGGCTTCGACGTCCACATCTATCATTTCCAAGTAGGTCCCGCCACCATCCACCCCGGACAATAACGCCAAGCCACAGCGAAACTGACGCATCGACCAGAACAACCCCGACCAAGCCGCATACGCCAAAGCGCTCCACGAACGAATCAGGCGCGAATGTAAGCAGCGCATTCTTCTAGCCCAGAAAACTGCATCCCCTGGCCAGCTACTGCGAGGTCCAGTTGTCCAGTTCAATTGATCTCTTGCTTACACTATTTAAACAGTTCCCGAGCTTCGAATTTATACTTTCTTCGACCGGCCTATTGGCCCCCACCCAGTGGCAATGTTCGAAGTGAGTTTATTCACACCCGCGCAGTTTGGAGCCTTCATTCCTTGGTTGGTTATCAATCGGGGACCGCTTAGTGCTCTCGTTCATCCCAATACAGTGGCATCAGAGGATGAGAGTGAGCGCAACCACACCCAACGCGCAACTTGGCTTGGTGAACGGATTCCATTGGATTTGAGGCTTTTTAAGCTGATGAAGGCGGCGCAGAAGAAGAATGATGAAGAGGCTGAGAAGGCGAAGCAGGAGAACTTGTAGGATTAATGGATTGTGTTAGTAAGATAAATGCCTTCAATGAAGAGTTATAAACAGAAAAGTTCAATTCACTGCGTATGGATCACCACAACGTGTTGTGTTGAGGAATGTCAGCGGCTGGTGTGGAGGATATTGGTGTATCTCGCCTCTCTATACAAATAAACCGAGGAGCGCCATGCAGCCATCAATTCGGGTCCCCATGATAAATAATAATTACAAATAACAATATCCACAGAAAGACTCTATCACTATAACTAACTCAACCTAATTCGACACTAGTCAGAACTTTGTCATGAGGGCTTCGCAGGCAGGTGACATCGTCAGCAAAAAGAGCAATATAGCAATGATCTTCAACCTTGAGATGTGTTATGCAGATCGCACCATTATGATGACCAATGAACAACAAAATGCGACTCTTACTACTACTGCATTTACCTGTTCATGGGGCACCTGATGCAGGGCTCACATTCCTCAGGTTGCATACTGCATACTTTACCCCAGAGGAGAAAGGAGGTAAACAGGACACCTTCCAACAATCTCACCCTACCGGAATGCCACCGGAGCTCACATTGGGGTGTCCACGGCCATGCTGTCTTGTCCGAGTTTGAAAGTCCAAGTTAAGGTGCTGTGATCTACTGCTCGGAACACTGGCATGATCCCCCCGTCAAGAAGACCACTCACCTCGAAGGATCCATAGTATCACTGGAATATCAAATGATCTTGTGACTATGGACTTATATCACTTGCAATTTCATTAAACTGCTTCTCGCCCCACGGTATGTCTTCGAATCCGCCCATGACAAGATCATGCTGATAAACGTTGAGACTATACATCGGTATAAGTTAGCAAGGTTCGACTGGTTCCCTCATAGGGATTAAAAGGGTGCTTGTCGCTCCTCAATACTCGAGAATTGTCACACAACATGCGTTTTCTTACATCGTTGGCACTAGTTGGTCTATCGACCCAACCAGTCTGGGCATCCAACGATAGAGCTACACTAGACATCCCACCGTATGTCTTGGAATATGGTAAACTCTCTGAGATCTGCATTCCTAATATTAGCTTATTTGTTTTACAGCACCCTTGGTCTGGCTTCATAGTCAGGAAACATACATGCCGAGCGATATCCAGCAACAGCTCGATCATACCAGACCGAATGTCAACTGGACAGCCATCGAGGGAGTACAGTCACCACTCAACCTCAATAACCTTGATACGCTCAATTCTATGGGTAATACAAGCGTCTACTTAACCTCTCTAGAGGGTATCGAAGCCGATCCAGAGCCAACTTGGTTCCGGGGTATCAAACCGGACTCACAGGGACGAACGGGTGATGGTACAGGGAGTGTCATCATTACCACAGACCGTGGCAACGGAACCATTGATGCATTTTACTTTTACTTTTACGCGTGAGTCTGGCTATATCTAGTGTCCGTATTTGTACTGACGCGATCCCAGATACAACAAAGGCAGCAAGGTACTAGGCATGGAATTCGGTGACCATATCGGAGACTGGTGAGCGAAGAACAACATGTGTAGAGTCGCTCTGGCTAAGGAAGGGAAAATCAGGGAACATAACATGATCCGCTTCGTCAACGGCGAACCTAAAGAAATATGGTACAGCCAGCATGCCAGCGGGCAGGCATTCACCTACGCCGCCGTCGAAAAGAAGGATAAGCGGCCGTATGTCTACTCCGCGAGAGGCACGCATGCAAACTACGCAATTGCAGGGTAAGTTCCAGATACTTTCCCAAACCCGTTCAATGTCAATACTGATAGACATCCAGAACCCACGACCACGCTATCCCGGGCTTCAACCTCCCTGCAGGGTTTCTAATGGACTATACAGATCGCGGCATACTGTGGGATCCCGTGCTCAACGCCTATACTTATACCTACGATAAAACAACCGCTGCGTTCGAGGCTGTGAACTCTGAAGATCCGGTGGTTTGGTTGGATTTCAATGGGAAATGGGGTGATGACCAGCCGCCCAATGAGCCTGAAATATTTGGCGAGGCTAAAAATGTTGGTGGTCCTAATGGTCCTAAGTTCAAGGGATTGGATAGACAGAAGGTGTGTCCTTCCAAGTCGTGTTTTGTGCTTCCGATTAGGACTTTTTCTGTGAAGGCTTCGTGAGGGGGAGATGATGGGGTTGGGTTGATGGTGGGCTGGGGGTATATTGGATTGATCGTATAGGAGCATATAGGTGACTTCGGTATATACTGATAAAGAGTGGAAAGACTGCTACTTAGAATGAGAGATTGTCCCTGGACATTGTAATATCAGTAAAAATCAAAATGTGATGATGGCTCAGTTTCGTGCAAGCGCAAGGTTGCCTCTCTAGCCGAACAATCAAGAAAAGGAGAACAGAACACATTAAAAGTTCCCAGACCATTCGAAGGGAACTCATGTTCCCGTTCCTCCGGATCTCTCTTGCCGTTCTCTTTGGTCAAAAAAGAAATATTGAAGCTCCTGCAAGGGAAATCCACCCCACTTTTGCTCCACTCGGTTATATTTCGAGGCAGAAAACGCGAGATGTTCAGGGAGTATGGAGTCCAAAATACTCCTGTCGTCACGGAACAGCATATGTAGTTTCATGTACCATAAACAATGCACACAACATAAGGCAAAAGACTTGACAGAATCCCCAGGAAATGGTTCGCGTCCAGGGGCTCCAGTTCCCCACATGACCTCTCGTGTTTAAGCTGAGATCTTAAATTGTGGTGTTTCAGAATTTGATCTAGCTCGTATTGGAGGAGCTCAGGTGGCTAGGGTTCGATATGGTTATTAAACGGCGTAGTTAGTTTAATTATGTGCATTAGATTGCGGCTTTTTGGGCAATTGTTCTGGAGCCGAAGGCTTTGCCCTACCGGACGGGTTAGCCTTGGCTGTTAAGTTACTCCGTACTCCGTACATGTCCCGTTTTAGCGAGACATAAACAAGACAAGTATATTGCATCACCTGTTCTTTTTCCCTTTAATCTCAGGTCTATAGTGAATCGTGAATTATGGACAGGTGGAGCCCTAAACGGCCCCTGCCGCACGTGTCATATTCCCACGCGAGAAGAACGTGCTTTTGAGAATGTCATGATTCCCAAGGTTATCCAGGTCATTGGAGAGTCCATCCCGTCTGGCGTTAGCTCCCATTGGCGTCGGACGAACCGGCATCCAATGGCCATACAAAAGAAAGACCAAAGCTTCTAAGTGGAGAACGCTGCTCTGGAATATTTTACCCCTGAATGGCCATTTCTTATGCTCTCTATATTGATTTCTATCCCCTTAGTACTCTATAGTGAAATTAAATCCTCTTCCTTTCGTTCACCCTCTTTTCCCTCTTTCTCCAAGCGCCGCTGTTGCTGGACGCTGTGAGCAGGCCTATTTGAAATTCCCCGAAAAAAAAAAAACCAAAAAACACCCCCCCCAAAAAAAGAGGAACTTTGAAGTTAGAACTTTGTTCAAGTCCTAATTTCAATTCCCGCCTTCACCCACTGGCTGGGAGCTTGTATTTTGTTGATTTCCACTCTCGCTTATTCCCTTTCATTTCCTCGACTTTCGTTTCTGAGAAACACGATACATCACGGGATTGGCAGACAATTAGATTGAATTCCACTGTCTAGTTTCAGAGCAGTTTCGAATCGCTCCATACCGAATCTAAGCTGCACTCTTGGCGCTGTTGAACTCCGATATATATCGTTTTATTGGTGAGTGGCCTGAGGTTCCATACCCCTGACGGGGTGGGGTGCAATGTCCCTGATAGAGAGCCCTCTAGAAAGAAGAGAAGACAAAACCAAAAGAAAAAGAAAAAAGAAAACTAATAAGGAAAGAACAGACAAACCTATCCCAAAATGGCAAGCCCATCAACGCGCCTGGCGCCCGAAACAGACGTCAACCGTCGTACCTCCCTCGGCTTCCTTCGTCGTTCTAAATCCACCGAACCCCTAGGTGAAAAATCTACCCGCAGAAAGATGTCCAAAACCCAAGCCATGGAAGACGAACTGCGTCGTCAGCGCGAGTCTTATGCCCCCAAAATCCCTCCCCGCTTGCCTGATCTTTCCCCCGCCCCGCAACTGGAAACATTTGGAGGCGAGGAACGTGATAAGATCCCCGAACCAATTCCACGCCCACAGTCGGGCGTTGCACCCTCGATGGCTGGTTCAAATGCCGATCCATATGCGCGCACTGAGAGCATGACCCACCGTGGTCGCTATAGCTATGCGAGCAGTGCTGTCAGCACCGTGAATAGCCCTCGCCGCGTGCGCCGTCGCAAGGACCCCACCTCATACAAGTGAGTCGAAGATGTGACATCACCAAAAACAGAGCTAACAAAGGCGTTATAGTGTGCTTGTCATTGGTGCTCGTAACTCGGGCAAAACCTCTTTCCTCAACTTCCTTCGCAGTGCTCTGACCATGCCCGCCCATAAGCACCCTTCGCGCACCCCCGAAGAGGTCGAAGAGCTGCAGCGTCAAACCTCGGCCTGGGAAGGATTCACGTCGCAATATCTGGAAACCGAGTTTGACGGAGAACGTGTCGGACTTACCCTGTGGGACTCTGTAGGTCTGGAGCGGAACATTGCAGATCTGCAGCTGCGTGGCGTGACAGGCTTCCTGGAGAGCAAGTTTGAGGAGACCCTTGCCGAGGAGATGAAGGTTATTCGCTCCCCCGGTGCCCGTGATACCCACATCCACTGCACTTTCCTGCTTCTGGATCCTGTGCGTCTGGATGAAAACATCGCCATGGCTGAGCGTGCTGCCAATGGCACATCCAAGCCCACAGATGCGCCTGTGGTGGGAATTCTAGACCAGAATCTGGATCTGCAGGTGTTGCGCACGGTGCTGGGCAAGACTACCGTGGTGCCGGTTATCAGCAAGGCGGATACAATCACCTCCGCCCACATGAATTACCTCCGCAAGGCGGTCTGGAACAGCTTGAAGCAGGCTAATATCGACCCCCTTGAGATCTTGACGTTGGAGGACCAGGAGGAAGAATCCTCCTCGGAAAGTGCGGATGAAGAGGAAACTGTGGACACTGAGAATGGAGATGTCCAAGCCAAAGAATCCGACATCGCAACCGATGCCCCCGGATCGCCATCGCAGCGCAGTGAGGGCACTCGCAGGTCCACCGCGTCGCAGGCCACCAACCAGCACGTTCCGTTCTCGATTCTGTCTCCGGACCCTCATTCCCTGGCCGCTGGCGACCAACCAGTCGGTCGCCGATTCCCCTGGGGATTTGCTGACCCATATGATGCCGAGCACTGTGACTTTGTTCGTCTGAAGGACTCCGTCTTTTCCGATTGGCGCTCCGAGCTACGGGAGGCCAGTCGGGTCGTCTGGTATGAGCGCTGGAGAACCAACCGCCTCAACCGCAACGGACAGCCAGCACCCCAGAAGCAAACCTATGGTGGCCGTCAGGGACCTCATGATGGCCGTCGCACGCGATAAAGCCCTTCCTTCTGTTCGCATAACTTTCTCTTCCCGCACATACCCCCATTCTTCGCGGCCTAGCACCTCGCCAGGCTTCTTTTATGTCATACCTTTACCTTCTTTCTGACAAAATGTTTCGAAATCCGGAACTTGTACTAGTGTTGTTCATCTATTGTTGACACGGTAATTTGATTATCTTGAATAATTCCCAGACAGTCCGTAAATTGTAGTGTATTTGGCCCCTGGGCAATCTGACATGCGCATTGGCCAAAATCCTGCGGCTGAAGGGCGCTATCACCGACGATCTTGAGTTCAGCTGTAAGCCAATAAGAGCTAATCCTTGTACAGGAAGTGAAGAAACCACAAGCTATAAGTTGGCCAGGAATACGAGGTCTTGTAAACTTTTCTTTTCTTTTCTTTTCCAATTTTACCTTCCACATAGGTAGAGAAAAGGCTTCGTATCTACAAGTAGAATGGCCTAGTGGACACGATCACGCACAAAGGAATACCAAGTCCAACTCTGTGTGACCAAATACCGCACCTCAGAAACGAAATAAATCCGTTTGAAACACAGAAGATCAAATATCAAAGATCAAATCAGAACATTGAACCCACAATGTCCCTCCAAGTGAACGACCCACGGGCGCGAACCAGATCCAAGTCCCCTGGTCGCGAGCGCTCACGGTCGCGCGACAGCCGAGCTCCCTCTCCCTCCCACCGCTCGCGCTCCCCAGCCGTCGAAGCCCCTAGAACCAAAGGTTACAACCCTGACGAAGAAGCCGAAATCGAGCGCCAATACAAGCTCATCAGCGAGGAACGCCGTCGGGAAACCGACGAACCCCGCCTCGCTTCACGCGCCCCAAGAAGTCCCCGCTACGACGTGGACCGCTCAGACTCGGACTCAGGGTCGAGACGTCGTGACGCAGAAAGGTCGCAACGACGTCGCGATGACCGCTACGAACACTCGGATTCGGAACGCGGTTCTGCTGCAGCAGCGCCTTTGGGGTCTCATCGACGACGACCCTCGCCAGACCGCGGAAGTCGCGTGAACCACGACTCCGACTCAGCCGACGATCTAGCTTACGGTGATGCACCAGGTAGCCATCCCAGCTATGCGCGTCCGAATCGGTACAGCTACGCCCAGCCCACACAGTTCGTGGCTGCTGCGCCGCGACCGGGATACCCCGCCGGGCCGATCGACTGGGCCTCTGTGCCGGAATGCGAACGTCCTGGATACGTGCCGCCTTCATCGCAACCTACAGGTACGGCTAGTATGCCCGGTGCGTTCCCGGTGGCTTCGACCTACCCCGCTACCTCGGGGTCTGTGCCGGCGCCTGTGATTCCATCGCAGTATCCTGGTTTCCCCGGGCAGGCATATGCGACGAGTGCGGGGTATGCGCCTGCGCATTATCGGACTGCCTCCGCTACTGATACTGGTTATCCGGCGGCGGCGGGGTATGCCAATCCCGGTGCGTACCAGTACGCTCAGGTTGATCCGAATGCGGTGAAGTATGCCTCGAAGGCAGAGCCTAAGCAGACGCCAGTGTATCCTGCTTCTACGAATGAGCACTATTCCAGGCCGCTGCCGCAGCAATTGCAGAACCAGTATTACCCGCAATCGCAGCAGAAGCCGCAGCCGCAGCAGGCTCCAGACCAGTCGCATCGGTATAAACCCGAGCCTGAGTTTGTGGAGATCGCGCCTGGTGGGAATCGGTCAAGTGCTCGTCCGCACAGCCAGTCTGTGTCGTCGAATACCCTCGCAGTTGCCGGGGCCAGTGCAGCTCATTCGGCTCTTCCCCCGGGTAGTCCGCTACTGGAGCCGTATCGTGGTACTTACCAGTCCATCTCACCGATGCCATCCCCAATCGTCATCCCCTCCATCCGCGACGATGATATCTCAGACCTGGAACCCCTCGACGGCTCAGACTCAAGCCGACGTAGCAAGCACCACCGCTCGCACTCATCCATCAGCGAGAAAGATCCCCGCTCCCGCAGCAGCAAAGACAAGAAAGACAAAGAGCGCGACGACCGTACCGACAAACGTCTCAGCCGCCCTGGCCACGACCGCCACGACTCATCCTCCTCGATCCCGGACGGAAAAATTCTCATCTCCCCAACCACCGGCCGCAAACGCGTCTCCTTCTACGACGCCGGCCCAGACGCCGCAGCCATGCAATCCGCCCTAAACCACACCCGAAATATAGACAGCAAACCCATCATCCAAATCCTCCCCCGTCTATCAAGCGACGAGATCATCCTCCTGCGCGCGGAATACAAATCCCGCGTCCGAATGCAAGGCAAAGGAATCAACCTCGCCAAGCACCTCCGTCTCAAACTGGGGAGTTCCTCCTTCGGAAAAGTCTGCTACGCTACTGCCCTCGGTAGATGGGAATCAGAAGCTTATTGGGCAAACTGCTATTACCAAGCCGGGACATCGCGTCGAGAACTCCTAATCGAGTCCCTGGTCGGAAGGTCGAATGCTGCCATTCGGGAAATCAAAAACTCGTTCCGTGATACTAGATACGATAATAGTATCGAGCGCTGTATGCGCTCCGAGCTACGCGCGGATAAGTTCCGTGTTGCTATTCTGCTTGCGCTTGAGGGTCAGCGACAGGATGATCGTGAACCGCTCGATAAACGACTTGTGCGTGATGATGCGCAGGATTTGCATCGTGCTATTGTCCGGGAGGGCGGTGAGACGGCTATGATTCATATTATTGTCTTGAGGAGTGATTCGCATTTGCGGGAGGTGTTGCGTGCCTACGAGGATAATTATGGGCATAATTTTACTAGGGCGATGATTTCCAAGTCGAGGAATTTGGTGGTATGTACATTTCCTTTTTTCCTCTTTTTCTTTCTGCTCTCATACCTCCTCCAATCAACACTGAATACATATACTAACATATATATCCAGGGCGAAACCCTAGCACATATTCTCAACGGCGCAATAAACAGACCAATGCGCGACGCCCTCCTCCTCCACCAAGCCCTACGCGAATCCCGTACTGGCCGCGAGCGCTCAGAACTCCTCATTTCCCGTCTCGTGCGTCTGCACTGGGAACCGAGACATCTCGAGCTCGTTAAGACCGAGTACAGACGCAGATACCGTGAGCGTTTGGAGGAGGCTATTGCCGAGGAGATTCTTTCGCTGAATGGTGGACAGGATTGGGGGGAGTTTTGTATTGAGTTGGCGCGGAATGCTTGATTTCCACCTGTGATATGACCTGTGTCGTATCTTGGTGGCTGTTGTGTGTGAGGTGGGATTTTAGTTGGTACTTGCTTTGTTTGGGAAAATTATATCTTTCCTGGCTTTTGTTTTGTCTATATGTATTTGTTGCTTGTCTAATGTTCTATGAAGTGTATTGCATATGAGATGATGTCTGGCACTAGTGTCTCTACCTTTCACCTTCCATTTTAGGAAGACTTGATATTGGATACTCTGCTATTGCTCTTGTATCAGTATGACCTCATACAAGGACTCATCCAACTGAGCATTGAAGACAATGCTCAACGCGTTGGATGCTCAGTAGTACCGTCAACGTCGTGTTAATCGTACCCAGGAATTGGACGCAGAATTGGACTCTATCAAGCAAAGAGAGCGGGATGAGTTAGAAGATAAGTTAGAGGGAGAGGCCAATGCGCTAAAAGGACTATTAGGGGCTCAGAATCCGAAGTGATTCCATTCTAGTTGATACGAATGTATTGCTACTCCGCTTGAAGTTCGTACAAAAAAGACGTACAAATTCCGAGGTTTTAAAAGCTGCCCAGGTGAGAGCTGTGGCTCGGACACTCATGCTCTAAATTACTTCGGCTATGTCCGCCGGCCCTGCAAATCTTGTTGAATTGGGACTGGAAAATCAGGTTGGATATCAGGTGGAGGGTCCGAACTTGTGTGCTCTGGTGAGAGCAGGACCTTCGTGGGGTTTTTTCGTACAGGGAGGATCGAAATTTAGTTTCACCACTTAGCCGTCTTACCAGCCCACCCCTACCCAGGGTGGGTCTGTCCCACTAAACAGAAATTTACCACAAAACAGAAGAATTTAAAAATCACCATGTATTCAAAACCACCTACCTATATACTCCAGTAGTATCTATATACCAATTTGCACCCCCACTATCTCTTGCTGCTAATCTAGCTTCATGCTCATTTTCAGCGGCATTCCTAGCCAATTGAGCCCGTTGTTCCAATTCTAATTCCTTGGCATGTTTTGCCTGCTGGCGCTGAAGCTTCTTATCTTCGGTGTCCTGCCTCCTTTTTATTAGAAGATTGGCCATAGCAGGCGAGAGAGCCATTGGGCCTGTATTGAGTATTAATCGTCTGTTTTTTGGAGTATTTACCCTGTGGGACTGAGACTTCTTCAAAGATGCCTCACAGATCTCAAGCCGCTGGGATAGAAGTAAAATTGCATCTATACTTCGACCAATATGCCTTTGCATACGCTTAGATAGCCCAGTAAACTCTGTAAGATCACTAAAAATCTTATCATGAAGCTTTTTAACCCGTACAATGGTATCTGGAGGAGAATTCGTTGCTGAGCTACCTAGCTCAGGGGGTGGTGAGGGCGTATTAATGATACTAAGAACCGGAGTATCATTAATCTGAGCACGTAAAGGGCTAAGAACTATCTCTGGATTAAAAGGATATATACCCCGAGAGCTAAAAGAAGATCTAATAGTTCTCTGGGTGAAAGCATCCCTCTCAAAGCTCCTCTCAAAGCTACGGGCCTCAGAAAAAGGTGGTTAAACAGTTAGCACATCATCCCTCAGCTGTTTTAACCACCAACTGTGATCTGGTGGTTCTCGAACTGTTCATTTAAATTGTTGAGAGGTCTCTTCAAGCGAGAAGTTCAAACGTTTTTCTGGAAAATCTTGACTGCATATGGTAAAGGGGCTCTCTTCGATCTGAGTCTTTGGGTCGGATCGACCCGTTCCTGGGAACCCCCCTCACTACCCGCCCCCACATGAAAGTATGGTCATCGATACGAAACCATTCGGGAAGCGGTGTGAGCGAGGAAAAGGCTACAATGATTTTTCTGGCCTAGCGCGCTAGTCACATGGTTACGAGGCTGAGGATACGCCCCTCTTCCAGCTCGTAAGAGTCCAACTGAGATTCTTGTCATGAACCACCACATTGGAACTTTTGAAAACAGCTACTCCTTAGCATCCATCTATTCATCAAGTATTCACTTTGATCTCCCTCTTCTGGAGCAGATCGTCCAAGACCTTTGCTTCTGCGAGAAGAGAGGGTCCTTCGTTGACATATTGAGTACTTCTGGCGCGTCTAAACAACCTGCCTGGTCGAGTACGTCTCATACAATATGGCTGAGAACCCATTATCTCAGCCAGAGCAATCAGTACCAGCACAAAGCAATGCTGGTCCCGAAATGCCTCCATGCCGAAAGCGACTCCGACACGATGCCTATACCATCGGGTGGGTATGTGCTCTTCCAAAGGAACAGACCGCAGCCAGGGCCATGCTAGATGAAGAGCACGAACCTCTTCCGACCCCTCGCAATGATCATAATGCATATACGCTTGGCTCAGTATGCGGCCACAACGTCGTCATAGCCTGCCTACCTAATATGGGAACCAACCCTGCCGCGACCGTCGCGACTTCTATGATTAACACGTTCCAGTCGATCAGGTTCGGACTCATGGTAGGGATTGGCGGCGGAATTCCGTCGAAGGTCAATCTGGGTGATGTGGTGGTGAGCCAACCTGTTGCGGACTATCACGGAGTGGTACAATGGGATATGGGGAAGCTGGAGAGGGATGGGCGATTTATCCACACAGGCTCGCTGAACCGACCTCCGAATGCACTACTCAATGCATCGAATCAGCTAAAAAGTAATTATGAGATGTTCGGATCGAAGATAAATGAGTATTTAAATGATGTGGAGAGGAGATTCCCGCGCCTGGCGCCAAAATATACCAGGCGTGAGTGCTTGGAAGACCCATTGTTGTCATCGAAGAGGGGACGTCGGACTTCGACCGAAGTCCAGTTTCTGTCTGGCCTATGGCAGGCGGTCATCGCAATGATCGCATATCTTCTTGGCTCATGGGCTATTAGCCCAGTAAACGAGGAGAATAAGCGGCTGTCAGAGAAGGCAGAGGAAGTACGGACCCAAAGAGAAGTGAGGGTACATCATGGCCTGATCGCATCCGGGAACAAAGTGGTTAAGGATGCCCAATTCCGAGACCTCCTTGACAAAGAATTCGGCGGGCACTTACTATGCGTGGAGATGGAGGCAGCTGGGCTTATGAATGACTTCCCATGTATTGTGATCCGAGGTATTTCTGACTATGCAGATTCGCGAAAAGAGAAAAACTGGCAAGAATATGCTGCAGCCGTGGCTACTGCATACGCAAAGGAACTTTTGGGATGTGTGCAGCCCAGTGTTGTTAATGCTGAGGAATCAGCGAAAGCTACGATGGAAGAGGGTTAGTACCTGCCTACCTGAATATGTCGGCTGCGGTGTCCTGAAGTACCGGCAGATACCTGAGACAAAATAATACTTGACCTTAGAATACATCCTAACTACGCACAGTAAACAAACAGATCGAAAGTGTGCAGCGAACGACTGTCTCAATCAAAGCTACTACCGATTCTATCAAGACCGGTCTTCATACTCATGAGATCAAAACCTGGCTGGATCCCCCAGACCCATCGACGAACGCCAACCACGCGAGGACGCTTCACCATGAAGGGACTGGCGCGTGGCTCCTTGAGGACCCCGTCTACCGGTCGTGGTATTCGGGGTCGTATCGACATATATGGCTGCATGGGTTCGCGGGATGTGGAAAGACTGTTCTTGCTTCAACTGTGCTTGATTTTCTCGCAGAAGGAGACGACGGTTCTATCCTCAACTTTTTCTTTGATTTTAGCGACACCAAAAAGCAGACCTATGAAAGCATGCTGCGGTCGCTTACTTTCCAGCTTTATGAAGGTGGGGTTGACTCTGCTGTTCATCTTGATGCGTCATTTCAAGCGCATCAGAATGGGAAAAACCAACCTGAGACGAAGGTGCTCTCGGCTATTTTATTCAAGATGCTCGGAGCCCAGAAGAGGGTCGCTATCGTTCTGGACGCATTGGATGAATCAACCACAAGGGGTGACATCCTTAAGTGGATCGAAGTCATAATATCTAAGCCAGAGCTGGGCCATGTTCAGGTGCTTTTTACCAGCCGACCTGAGTCCGAGTTTCTGCGCCGCATACCAATTTTGATAGGAGAGGAAGGTTGCCTACCACTTAATAAGCAGGCTGTCAACTCCGATATCCGTTCATGGGTCTCAGCACAACTCTGTCAACGGCGGGATTTTACAGAAAAGCGCTTACCCAAGAATCTTCTCGAAGAGATTCGGAGAAAGGTCGGCGACGGGGCCGATGGGATGTGAGATATTACTACTTCAATCGATATACTGATGGTTTGCTGACACCCTAGTTAGGTTTAGATGGGCATTCTGTCAATTAGACAGCCTGGCCCGATGTCGTCACGAGGCAGCTATGGAGAAGGCTCTTACATCATTGCCGCTGAATCTAAATGAGACATACCGACATATGATTGCAAGTATACCGACCGAGCTAAAAGATGACGCGATACGATTGCTTCAATTCCTAGTGCACTCTAAGCGACCTCTTAAACTCGCTGAAGCTAAAGAAGTAATAGCGACGCAGGTCCAAAACAATTCGCAAGAATTTGATATCAAGCGTCGACTTTTTTGCGAGACTGATATCTTAGATTACTGCCCCAGCTTGACCGTCGTTAAAACCACTGAAAAAGAGCTTCATCTTGCCCACTTCTCCGTCAAAGAGTACCTTCTCGAACAGGGTCATTTTAAGATCACAACTGCCAGCATTTCCATTACGAGGACGTGCTTGGGTTATCTTACGGACATTGGCGGTAGCTACAGAGAGATCAAGCGGGATTTTCCGATGGCAAGATACGCGGCGGAGATTTGGACAGAGCATGCTGCGTTGGCTCAGGATTCCAAAGATTTTATTCAAGTTGCAGTTAGGTTCCTGGAAAAGGAAGCGACATTCCAACGATGGGCCCGTTTATATCAAGCTGATAAGAGGTTGGACGATGACCCTGGTCAACCGCGAGGTTCTAGGCTGTACTATGTTTGCATGGGTGGGCTTACAGCGCACGCACGGGATCTTATCGGCAAAGGAGCAAACATCAACGCACAGGGCGGCCGCTACGGCAACGCTCTACAGGCCGCCTCAGACGGAGGCCATCAAGAGATCGTCAAGCTTCTTTTAGAAAATGGAGCAAATGTCAACGCACACGGCGGCTATTACGGCAATGCTCTTCAGGCCGCCTCATATGGAGGCCATCAAGAGATTGTCAAGCTTCTTTTAGATGATGGAGCAAATGTCAACGCACAGGGCGGCCGCTACAGTAACGCTCTACAGGGCGCCTCACAGGGAGGCCATCAAGAGATTGTGAAACTACTCTTATATAATGGAGCGGACGTTAACGCACAGGGTGGCCACTACGGTAACGCTCTTCAGGCCGCCTCAGACGGAGGCTATCAAGAGATCGTCAAGCTTCTTTTAGAAAATGGAGTAAATGCCAACGCACAAGGCGGCTATCACGGCAATGCTCTTCAGGCCGCCTCTCAGGGAGGCCATCAAGAGATTGTCAAACTACTCTTAGATAAGGGAGCAGACGTCAACGCACAGGGCGGCCGCTACGGTAATGCTCTACAGACCGCCGCAGACGGAGGCCATCAAGAGATCGTTAAACTGCTCTTAGACAACGGAGCGGGCGTCAACGCACAGGGCGGCGATCACGGCAACGCTCTCCAGGCCGCCTCTCAGGGAGGCCATCAAGAGATCGTTAAACTGCTCTTAGACAACGGAGCGGGCGTCAACGCACAGGGCGGCGATCACGGCAACGCTCTCCAGGCCGCCTCTCAGGGAGGCCATCAAGAGATCGTCAAACTGCTCTTAGATAAGGGAGCAGACATCAACGCAGAGGGCGGCCACTATGGTAACGCTCTTCAGGCTGCCTCAGCGAGAGGCCATCAAGACATTATCAAACTGCTCTTAGACAACGGAGCGGGCGTTAACGCACAGGGCGGCCGCTACAGTAACGCTCTACAGGCCGCCTCACAGGGAGGCCATCAACAGATTGTCAAACTACTCTTAAAAAAGGGAGTAGATGTCAACACACAGGGTGGTTTATATGGCAACGCTCTCCAGGCCGCCTCACAGGGAGGTAATCAAGAGATTATCAAACTACTCTTAGATAAGGGAGCGGATATCAACGCACAGGACGGTTACTACGGCAATGCTCTCCAGGCCGCCTCAGCTGGAGGCCATCAAGACATTTTCAAACTGCTCTTAGATAACGGAGCAGACATCAACGCGCAGGACGGTTACTACGGCAATGCACTCCAGGCCGCCTCAGCGGGAGGCCATCAAGACATTTTCAAACTGCTCCTAGATAAGGGAGCAGACATCAACGTGCAGGACGGTTACTACGGCAATGCACTCCAGGCCGCCTCAGCGGGAGGCCATCAAGAGATTGTCAAACTACTCTTAGATAAGGGAGCAGACGTCAACTCACAGAGCGGCTTCTACGGTAACGCTCTCCAGGCCGCCTCAGACGGAGGCCATCAAGAGATCGTCAAGCTTCTTTTAGAAAATGGAGCAAATGTCAACGCACACGGCGGCTATTACGGCAACGCTCTTAAGGCCGCCTCTCAGGGAGGCCATCAAGAGATCGTCAAACTGCTCTTAGATAAGGGAGCAGACGTCAACGCACAGGGCGGCCACTACGGTAATGCTCTCCGGATTGCCTCAGATAGAGGCTATCAAGAGATTGTCAAACTGCTCCTTGATAATAGAGCGGACGTCGACGCACAGGACGGCCGCTACGGCAGCGCTCTCCAGGCTGCCTCACTGGGAGGCCATCAAGAGATTGTCAAACTACTCTTAGATAAAGGAGTAGATATCAACACACAGGGTGGTTTATATGGCAACGCTCTCCAGGCCGCCTCACAGGGAGGTAATCAAGAGATTATTAAACTACTCTTAGATAAGGGAGCGGATATCAACGCACAGGGCGGCCGCTACGGCAACGCTCTCCAGGCCGCCTCGTATAATGGCCATCAAGAGATTGTCAAACTACTCTTAGATAAGGGAGCAGAAGTTAACGCACTGGGCGGCCGCTACGGTAACTCTCTCCAAGCCGCCTCACAGGGAGGCCATCAAGAGATTATTAAACTACTCCTAGATAAGGGAGCAGACGTCAACTTACAGGGCGGCGGCGACGGCAACGCTCTCCAGGCCGCCTCTCAGGGAGGCCATCAAGAGATTATCAAACTACTCTTAGATAAGGGAGCAGACGTCAACGCACAGGGCGGCCGCTACGGTAACTCTCTCCAGGCCGCCTCACAGGGAGGCCATCAAGAGATTGTCAAACTGCTCCTAGATAAGGGAGCAGACGTCAACTTACAGGGCGGCGGCGACGGCAACGCTCTCCAGGCCGCCTCTCAGGGAGGCCATCAAGAGATTGTCAAACTACTCTTAGATAAGGGAGCAGACGTCAACTCACAGAGCGGCTTCTACGGTAACGCTCTCCAGGCAGCCTCAGACGGAGGCCATCAAGAGATCGTCAAGCTTCTTTTAGAAAATGGAGTAAATGTCAATGCACACGGCGGCTATTACGGCAATGCTCTTCAGGCCGCCTCATATGGAGGCCATCAAGAGATTATCAAGCTTCTTTTAAATGATGGAGTAAATGTCAACGCACAGGGCGGCCGCTACAGTAACGCTCTACAGGCCGCCTCACAGGGAGGCCATCAACAGATTATCAAACTACTCTTAAAAAAGGGAGCGGACGTCAACGAGCAGGGCGGCAAGTACGGCAATGCTGTCCCGGCTGCTTTGTGAGATGTTAACCAAGACATTGTCGCACTGCTCTAAGAAGGGGGGCTATCGCATAGTCTTAAAAAAAGTCCGGCTCTAGAACTCCAACAAACTCTGTGAACCAATTCCCTCCTATGCACTCTGAACTCCCTGATTAGGCCTGGTAATTCTCCTTCAGATATTACCTAACTTCAGCACTCATAACTCTGATGATTTGGTGAAACCTAGGCACCTAGATAAATAAATGCATGCCAATTTATTATTGAATACGCTGTCGAGAGGAACAAAAAGAGATAATCTAGTCATAGCGTATCTCCACATTCCTGGATAGTGCCTTTAGATGGGGCTCGCCTTCGCTCCCTGGTAGGAAGGTAATATTTCTATATACTGGCATAGGAAACGGAGGCAGTGGGGCTCAATAGTTAAGACAAATGCTTGAATAGAACACGTGCCGAATAAGGGATCTGCGCCAAGTGGGGTGTAGTCACTCAAGCAAGTTAAGAATGACGTCATATGGTATCAATGGTTATGGTATTCCATGGTATTTATCAGAACCAGTCTTTCATAAAACTATCTTTCGATACAATCCAGCCCCTTGAAACTATAATCATCTACATATAGATTAGCGTGTTATAAGGTGGGGTCTCGAGAAAGAATCTCTGTTCAAATGGTGAAACTGATTTCGATCCTCCCTGTAGTTCCTTTTGATAGGCGCGTCTCAGCACCTCATCCACGGTGGGAGATAAGACTGTTCCAGTGGCCTTTTTATTGACTTCGTCACATATTTTCTTGTCGGGAAAGAACGAAAACACGCCCCCTCGATTTGCCCCTTTTCCCTGGTATGGATAGAACGTGGGGTTCACTTCTGCAACATTCTTTATGGGCAGGCGGATTAGCTACTGAGCTTGAGGAAAAACATACCGTTCTATCAAAGGGTTTTGTAATATTTTTATTGTAGTGGGGGACGTCGTCCTTACTACGCACTGGCCTCACCTATCCGAGGCAAACGAGTCGCTTATCCAACTGAGGAAAAAGTGTCCTTAGCTTGGTCTATAATTTCCGGCGGTTTAGCTTACCAAGTGGGATAACTGCCAGGGGTCCAAAATGATAGTGACAGCCTCTTAACTTCCTCTAGTAGCGATCCTACCATTTCCACCTAGATTTTGACGCTAGACTAAGTGGCAAGAGATAGAGCGGAAATTGGTATATAGATGCTAACTAGTGGAGTTTATAGATAGGCGATTGAAAGATTGAATTGAAAACTTTCTGTTTGGTGGGTAATTCTTGTAATGTTTGTAATGTTTGTATGGGGCAGACCCACCCTGGGTAAAGCCGCCGGGATCCATGGATTGATGGTAAGACGACTAAACCCTTGGAAGTATCATGTTATCCACCGATGTTTCTTCCGTCTTCTTCCTTCATCTCACCTCGCCAAGGTTCTCGGAGTGAAGAAAACGGTCAAAACAAGAGGAACGCCGTCGACTGAGCAACTTTTCATGTCGTCCGACATTGGGGCCGTCGGACTCCACCAAGACGAAGGCGGGGGCATGGTTTGCCTTGATGCTCCGCAATCGTCAGCGTTTACTACCGTGGCACATGGGGGCAATGATGAGAATCGTGAGCCGTAACTTACCTGCCCGCCTCTGCAGCAGCCACTCAATGGCGAGGCCGTTTGGGGGCTCGCGGCGGCCACAGTCAAGTCATTCATGCTGTGTCACGAGATGCCAGCTCATGTGCATAGAAATCCTCCAGAAGAGCATGCAAAAGACCTTCCAAAAGACCCCCCAAATAGCTTCTACGGGAATCATGATCTTTGACTTACTATATGAATGAAACGTCCGCTCATATTTTATGAGGGCTTTTTGGACCTCTTCGAGGTCATTGCTTTTAGCCTCCACATTCTTCTGTGTGTTCTCGAGGCTCTTCTGTGTGGCCTCACCCTTTTTCTGGAGGTCTTGGACAGCCTGTGATAGAGTCTCAGGCGTTGCCAGAAGGCTAATTCCCTCACTATTCGCCCATGCTTGGCGAATGTCGTTAAACAGACCGGGTCTGGTGATAATGCTTGTCGCATTGTTGTAACTGAGTCTTCGCTCGTAAGCTCGGACAGAGTGTAATTGGCTTGGCCCTAGTCTAATTAGCGAACATGACCCTGTTATTGAAATGTAGCAACTTGCTTCGAGTGGTAAAGCTCGCTGTAATGCGAGGTTTGACTGAGGTATAATCTGGCTGAGAGGATCATAGCTAGTGGGTTTGTTGAGGTTGATGGAGGTTGGGATTTTCGTCCTTTCTTTTGACGTTTCTGCATTTTAGATGATCCTCTGATTCAGATTAACGTTAGTGGTGCAATCAATGACGTGGGTGTATGATAAAAATAGCTTTGAGATGTGGGATAGTACGTATCAGTTCGATCAGCAAGAAAGAGTGTATCCTAACCAAGAAAACAGAGATAGGGAAGAGAAAGAGAGAGAGAGAAAAGAAGCAAGTGAAGAGAGAGAGAGAAAGAAGAAGCAAGTGAAGAGAGAGAGAAAGAAAGAAAAAGCAAGTGGTAAATCTCAGGGGATTTTATAGCTGGAACTATCCCAGCAAACAAACTCTTTCCCGAGTATGCTATTACCCGATGAGGAATAATAGCAAACTGAGAACAAAGAAAGCATAGGAAGCATGTGATCACGTGGGTCATGATATAGGATTGCTATCAGGCACTTGCGGTCGGAATGATCTACACAAGATATTTTCTAAGATAGGGTAGATATCACCTATATACTTGCTCTTAGAAAACATTTTGGGAGTTATCATTACCAGATTTCTAAACTTGCTGGCTCCCTTCTACCTTCATCACAGAACTGATCTGACTGGATGAATATCGTGATTTATATCTATCCCACCACCATACATTCGACCATTGGGGCATCATGCTCCAGTGAACCATGTAATTCTCTTCCGTGGTCGACATATCCAGCCTCATGTAAGCCGCACCTCGGGGCAATTTAGGGTCCCCCATATTGGCCTTGAGATACAATCGTGCCTTAATAGGCTCCCGACAGTCCCCGACATGTCTCGATGTTAGGTAAATCGCCAGAAGAAGCAAAACAACCGTCAAGACCTGGTTGAAGAGATCGCTCACACCGAGAGTGATGGCATGCGCACCGAACGCAGCCCAGGAAGCCATCCGCATCAAATAATAAAACTGTGGCTGGGTAGGCTGCGCTTCGGTCAACAAGAAGCTGACCACTATCATGCGCGGGCCGAAGATTGTGACGGCCTTCCCATTAGGCAGGGTCATGAAGACCTTCACATCCGGTCCGGGATCGTCTTTTAGCGATTGGATGGTTTTGCCAATGGAAGATCGGAGACGGGTGACTATAAATTGGCGGCGTCGGTAATGTTGTATAAGACGTCTCCTGGTTCTGGCCTGGGAATATCGTCATTCGCCAGGGTGTAAGATCCAAGAACAAGGAACCAAGTGTAGGAGAAAGGAAGTCGAATTTATGGCGGGGACGTTGGGAGGCTATGCGGCTGAACTGTGTCAGCTTCATGCAGGTCTGCCTAGCTTAGCCACCTTTATGTCACACCCTAATCGAGGTTAAAGCCTTGACAAAGCCCCGATTAGAGGGAAATATAATGAGGCTTAAAGTACAGAGAATCTATGTTATACATGCTCATGATCTTCAGTATTCCCCAAACCCTATCGTTCATTTTCCCATTAGCATTCGAGCTTTGCTTAGGGACATTTGTTTACTTCTAAAATGTGGTAGTATGGACACTATGTGCCTCAGCGGGCAACACCCGTGTCTTGGGAAAAGAGATAGTAATAAAGCCGGTTTTCCTAAGCCTTGATGCCAATAAATATCAAAGAACATCAATATAACCTTTATATAGTCTTAAAATATTAGGGTTGGCGTTTTATAGAATGCTTAATGAGTCTGAAATTCTTTGAAATTAATATATAACTCTACCATAGGTCAGAGTAAATCAGTAGCCCTTAATCATACTCATAATCACCATCGTCTCCATAATCTCCATATTCTCCTCCATATTCATCTCCATCATAGCTGTGAGCGTAGTCATCTTGTCCATCGCTTTCTTCTCCATCACCCTCATCATCCTCATCATCCTCGTCATCCTCATCATCCTCGTCATCCTCACCGTCCTCGTCACCCTCACCGTCCTCGTCACCCTCACCGTCCTCGTCACCCTCACCGTCCTCGTCACCCTCACCGTCCTCGTCATCCTCACCGTCCTCGTCATCCTCATCATCCTCGTCATCCTCATCATCCTCGTCATCCTCATCATCCTCATCATCCTCGTCATCCTCATCATCCTCGTCATCCTCATCATCCTCGTCACCCTCGCCACCCTCATCATCCTCACCGTCCTCGTCATCCTCATCATCCTCGTCATCCTCGTCATCCTCATCATCCTCGTCATCCTCATCATCCTCGTCACCCTCGCCACCCTCGTCATCCTCATCACCCTCGTCTTCCTCATCACCCTCACCATTCTCATCGTCCTCGTCGTCCTCATCACCCTCGTCGTCCTCATCACCCTCGTCGTCCTCATCACCCTCGTCGTCCTCATCATCCTCGTCACCCTCATCGTCCTCATCATCCTCGTCGTCCTCGTCTCCATCTCCCCATCCCTCTTGATCATCATCATTATTGTTTTCATCTTCTCCCCCATCTTGCTCACTATCATCTCCCCATCCACTTGCATCACTGTCATCACTCTCTTGGCTTCCCCCCCCCTCTCCATCACTATCAACAGTGCCTTGATGTTCTCCTTCCTCTTCATCACTCTCATCTCCCCATCCACTGTCATCATCGCCTTCATCTTCATCACTATCGTCGTCTTCACTGTCGTCTTCAACCCCTTTAACGTTGTGTTGATCCACATCGTCGCTTTGGTTCATAGAGGACATCAGAAGAGCTGCGCCGCCAGCTCCTACAGCTAGACCTGCAACACCAGCGACTATAGCTCCACTTCCACTGTTTTGGTTTTGGGGCTGATGATCTAGATCTTGACTGTAACCGGGATTCCAGGCCCGTCCATGGGTTTCACTATGAGCAAAACCGCGTCCTGTAGGATCAACTGGACCTGTATGTTCAAATGGACCTAGCAGCCTGGCTGGGTATGGAGTCTCCACTGGGCCACTTGGCTTAGATGGACCTGTAGGCTCATATGGACCCGTAGGCAGACCTCGTGGGTCACCTGAACCTGTCGGCCCTGCTGGACGTGCTGGCTCAACTGGATCTGGAGCCGGAACTATTGGGTCACCTGAACCTGTTGGCTCAGCTGGACCTGGAGATTCAACGAGACCTCTTGACCTATCTGAATCCGTCCGCTCAACTGGATCCGCAGACTTGACTGAATTGGGCAGACTTGTAGTAGCAGCAACTAGACCTGTAGCCGCAACTAGACCTGTAGCCGCAACTAAACCTGTATACGGACGTGTTGGCTCAACTGGACCTACAGGCGGGCCTCGTGGGTCACCTGAACCTGTTGGCTCAGCTGGACGTGCTGGCTCAGCTGGACCTAGAGCCGGACCTGGAGCCGGGACCGTTGAGTCACCTGAACCTGTTGGCTCAGCTAAACCTCTTGGCTTATATGGATCTGTAGGTTCACCTGGGCCTATAGGCGGAACTGTTGGCCCGGTTGGACCCACGGGCTTGACAGGGCCCGTTAGATCAGTTGGACCTTCAGGCTTGATGGGACCCGGCGGATTAGTTGGGCCTTCAGGCTCGCCTGGACCTACGGGCTTGACGGGACCCGTTGGATCAGTTGGGCCTGTCGGCTCGCCTGGACCTTCAGGCTTGACGGGACCCGTTGGATCAGTTGGGCCTGTCGGCTCGCCTGGACCTACGGGCTTGACGGGACCCGTTGGATCGGTTGGACCTGTTGGCTCGCCTGGACCTACGGGCTTGACGGGACCCGTTGGATCAGTTGGACCTGCCGGTTCGCCTGGACCTTCAGGCTTGACGGGACCCGTTGGATCAGTTGGACCTACGGGCTTGACGGGACCCGTTGGATCAGTTGGAGCTTCAGGCTTGATGGGACCCGTTGGATCGGTTGGACCTGTCGGCTCGCCTGGACCTTCAGGCTTGACGGGACCCGTTGGATCAGTTGGGCCTGTCGGCTCGCCTGGACCTTCAGGCTTGATGGGACCCGGCGGATTAGTTGGGCCTTCAGGCTCGCCTGGACCTACGGGCTTGACGGGACCCGTTGGATCAGTTGGGCCTGTCGGCTCGCCTGGACCTACGGGCTTGACGGGACCCGTTGGATCAGTTGGACCTTCAGGCTTGATGGGACCCGGCGGATCAGTTGGACCTTCAGGCTTAACGGGACCCGTTGGATCAGTTGGGCCTACGGGCTTGACGGGACCCGTTGGATCAGTTGGACCTTCAGGCTTGATGGGACCCGGCGGATCAGTTGGACCTTCAGGCTTAACGGGACCCGTTGGATCAGTTGGACCTTCAGGCTTGATGGGACCCGGCGGATCAGTTGGACCTTCAGGCTTAACGGGACCCGTTGGATCAGTTGGGCCTACGGGCTTGACGGGACCCGTTGGATCAGTTGGACCTTCAGGCTTGATGGGACCCGGCGGATCAGTTGGACCTTCAGGCTTAACGGGACCCGTTGGATCAGTTGGGCCTGTCGGCTCGCCTGGACCTACGGGCTTGACGGGACCCGTTGGATCAGTTGGACTTGCCGGTTCGCCTGGACCTTCAGGCTTGACGGGACCCGTTGGATCAGTTGGACCTTCAGGCTTGATGGGACCCGTTAGATCAGTTGGACCTGTCGGCTCGCCTGGACCTTCAGGCTTGACCGGACCTGTAGGCTCAATTAGAACCATTGGCATCATCAGACCATTGCCAGTAGGATGATTGGAATTTTGACCTGATCCAGGATAGAAACCATGACCTGGACCCCATTGGTCACCCTGCTCCCAATATGGATGCTGCCCTGGCCCGGGATGGCCATGAGGATTGTGACCATGCATGGGTGGGCCTTGTACTGGTCTCGGCGGGCCATGAGGATTATGACCATGTGTAGGTGGGCCTTGTCCTGGTCTCGGCGGGCCATGAGGATTGTGACCATGTGTAGGTGGGCCTTGTCCTGGTCTCGGCGGGCCATGAGGATTGTGACCATGTGTAGGTGGGCCTTGTCCTGGTCTCGGCGGGCCATGAGGATTATGACCATGTGTAGGTGGGCCTTGTCCTGGTCTCGGCGGGCCATGAGGATTGTGACCATGTGTAGGTGGGCCTTGTCCTGGTCTCGGCGGGCCATGAGGATTGTGACCATGCATGGGTGGGCCTTGCCCTGGTCTCGGCGGGCCCTGCGACGGCAAGTGCGCAGTTGGTGGGGGTTTATACGCCTGGTATGGACCACCTTGTAACCCAAGGAGTCCACTAGGGCCTCCCAAGCCGGCTGGCCTAGGTGGAGGGTTGGACGGGTTAAGCGGCCGGTGCGGGGCACCTTGGGGCCCTGGGCGTAGTATTTTAGGGTCTCCTAAGCTGATCGGCTTGGGCAGCCTCTGTGGACCACCTTGTGGTCCCGGGTGCGTTGAATGACCTCCTAAGCTAGCCACCCCAGACGGAGGGCTGGATAGAGACTTAGGCAACTTTGCCGGTTTGGGCTCCTTGATCAGCTTGGTCGACGTAGTTGGCTTCAGTGGCTGATATGGACCAGCTTGCGATACCGAATGCACTGTATGGGATCCTAAGCTAGCCGGCATAGCTAGAGGGGTGGATAGAGACTTGGAAGATTTAGCCGGCTTGGTCTCTTTGGCCGGCTTGGTCTCTTTGGCCGGCTTGGTCTCTTTGGCCGGCTTGGTCTCTTTGGCCGGCTTGGTCTCTTTGGCCGGCTTGGTCTCTTTGGCCGGCTTGGTCTCTTTGGCCGGCTTGGTCTCTTTGGCCGGCTTGGTCTCTTTGGCCGGCTTGGTCTCTTTGGCCGGCTTGGTCTCTTTGGCCGGCTTGGTCTCTTTGGCCGGCTTGGTCTCTTTGGCCGGCTTGGTCTCTTTGGCCGGCTTGGTCTCTTTGGCCGGCTTGGTCTCTTTGGCCGGCTTGGTCTCTTTGGCCGGCTTGGTCTCCTTGGCCGGTTTCGTCTCCTTGGTCGGCTTCGTCTCTTTGGTCGGCTTGGTAGACTTAGTCGGCTTAGGTGGCTGGGATGGACTAGCTTGTGATACCGGGTGCACTGCAGGGCCTCCCAAGCTGACCGGCCTGGACGGAGGGTTAGACGGGTTGAACAGCGGGTATGGACCAGCTTGTGATCCTGGGTGCACTTTAGGAGCTCCCAAGCTGACCGGCCTGGACGGAGGGTTGGACGGGTTGTACGGCTGGTGTAGACCAACTTGTGACCCCGATGGCACTCTGGAGCTTGCTGGAGTGGGGGCAGTTTGTGAAACCTTGCCAGAAGAGAACAGCCTCTTGAAAAACCCGGGATTCTTGGGGGGTGGAGCATAGCTGTGCTGTAGCTGCAATTCCCGTTGGCCTTGCTGTGGAGTCGGAGGAAAATGCGCTGGAGACATCTGGGAGATGTCTCTTCCACCTGTGGCAGTTGGGATTGGAGGTGGGTGAACCATCTGGGGATGTGGCACCGAATTTGTCTTTAGTAACTTTGGATTATGATGGCTTGGCGGGTCTGAGATTATCTTCGGCGGCTTTGCCACTTTCTTTGGGGGTTTCACTTCAACAGACATTGCTGCGGTTGTATGGACCATAGGACGATTGGTATGAAGCGGGTGCGAGACTGGAGGATATTGGTAGGGCACTGAACTGGGCTGAGGGGCGATGTGTTGGGATGAACCGATTGGTATGACATGAGAAGTTGGATAATGCATTCTCTGGTCTGGCCTCAGAACATGGAGAGAGGCGGGGAGCATACTAGTATTACCGACAGGCCGATCAACGACTGATGGCTTGGGTCCGGCATTTCCAGGGTTCGATGGTGGTTTTTCGGGACCCAGAGGGCAGGCCTCTTGTGACCTTTTGGGCTTCTTGCCTGACTTTCCGGACATGGCGGAGGACTCTGGTTCTGGTGCAGTGACCGGCGCAATGTTGGTGGGTGGGTGTTGAGAGTACTGTATTTCCTGCTCCAATCGGCCAGGCGCGGAATGTGGTGTAGTCATTGGCATACTAGGGGGCAGGCCAACAGGACGCCTGCGAATCTTCATCATGCTTGGATCAAAGTGCGAGAATTGTGAAGTAGCGGAATAGGTCGGGAGAGAGGCCCTTGGCGCATCCTGGATGCTGCCGTAGGCCGGCGCTGGCTGCTGAAGTGTATTAATGGTACCTGGTGATATGCCATGGCTTAATTCACGAGCACCATATGCATGCATTGGCATCGGCGAGAACGGTGTGATTTTGGGTGTATTATGGGTGACGGTACTTGCGTTCTGGAAGTTGACACTCTGTTGACCCACGATCAAAGTATTCGGGAGGGTATGTACAGTCATGGCCTGGGATGCCTCAATGTCGCGAGGGTTCTGGATTTCCTCAACGTTTTTGTGCAGCCCAGATTCAGGGAGTTCCAAAGTAGAAATGGGTTCCGTATCTTTTAATGCCAACTTTCGGACCTTCTTGATGGCAGAGATAATTGTTTTGTAGTTCTCATCCTCCCTGCTTGGGAAGCTTGCCATGGAGAGGTGGCTGCAACCCGCCATCAATTCGACCTTCTCGCTGCGAAGACCAAGAGCTGCGGAATGCACGTTCAAACTCTATAGGCAGATCAGCATATCACTCTGCTTACGCAAGAGCCAGCAAGCTAAAACTTACACATTCTTGCTGTGGTGGTGTTGGAACATCTTCGTAGCAGAAAAGCAATTTGGTTTTCTTAGTTGCCTTTGCCTTTGCCTTGAAGCCCTCGGAGATATCGTGGAGAGCAACCACACTGCTCTCTGCCCACCTAAGGTCTCTCACATATGACAGTTCAACCTGGGACAACCCTGGAGGTATACCGTCGCTCGCGCAACGCATCAGAAGCGTCGCCCACGGGACTCCTTGTGACGTACGTTGCGGCGTACTAAGGAAGATGACCCCTCGAGTGCAATCGATTATACTTGGAAAGTGGGTGAAGGCATCGTTCAGGCACTTATTTTAAAATGTGTTAGCCACATAAGACCACAATGGACGGAGTGCGTCGACTGAAAGAGAGACCCACCGATTCAACGATAAAACCACCGAAGCCATGGCAGATCAATACTAGTGGTCGTGTCGTTGGGACGTCCTCCCGAATAGCAGCGATTTGAGTAAGCAGGGCCCTGGATGCGTCCTGTACACTCTTCAATGGTGCTTCGCATAGCCAGACTGCGTTGACGTCGTAATAAAATGTAAATACCCTGGCCCCTCGAATGTCCTTTGGAACAAAATCGCGTAGCCAGAAGGACGAGTCAGAATATGAGTCCCAGGAGGCCAGGCCATGGACAGCTACAATGTCAATGGCCTTCGTCTCGTCGTGCTTATCGGGCTTTGGGATCTTTGTTTGGCGCACAAGATTCGCTTTTAGGCTTTGCCCGCCAAGAGGAATGGGTGTATGTGTAGACATAGCAAGATTCTAACACATATGAGCTACGATACAACGTTTTGAAGGGAAGGATTGTGTATCCAAGTCTGTTGTACAAAGGCATGGGGGAGGGGGGAATATGTAGTGACAAATGGACGCGGTGTTAAGATGAGGTATATCTTCGGGGAAAGTAAATAATCTCGGGAGCAGTACGAAGGCGGAACGGGAAGAGGGGGGAATCTTTGATGTTGAGCCGCATGGATGTTCTAAGACCAAGTGTTACCACCTCTAAGCCCCCACTGATCTATAAAGGGGCCAAACTCCGGGCTTTCGGGCTATAGTGTGGCTTAGTTCGGCCATAACTGCCAAATAGCACTGATCGGCCATGCTACCTAAGATACCATGGTAATGGACGTGCGCAAAAGTCTTCCAGGACCCTTGTAGGTCTTAAAAGTAATTGGGCGCATGCGTCAGCCACTAGTTCACGGATTGTCCAGTGACCTTGAACCTTCCGGAATCCCGAGGATATGCCTAGCATTCTCGAGTCGACTTTGCAGGGGTGTTCAATTCCCCATTAGTGCTTTTAGCTGTATTTACTCCGTCTTCGATAGTAATAATAATATTTAGTGTATCCATACGTAGCAGGAGCAAATCAGTGGACGTCAAATAAATTTAAGATCTTGCGTAGGGCTTGTTGTATGGTCAAATCACACGCCCAGACTACATTTGACAACGTCATTCTAAATATAGGTTCATTCTTGTGCGCTGCATAGTACTAGTAGCTTGTTGTTCAGGCTAACTCAACCAAATGTATGGGATTGCAGAGGCTAGTCCAGCCTACTTGTTAAGTTGCACACAGCCCCCTCTTTTGCAGATAGTTAAAAGTCTTGGTTTTCAATATTGCTTTTTCGGAGATACGAGCTACGGGTGTGAGATATGCCATGCCAAGGGCCCACAAAAGAACAAGGTAGGAGACTAACTGCGTGTATTCTTCCATTAGGACTAGCGCACTTTGTGCTCATTGGATACTCTAGGCTAGGATCGGCAAACTACGGTTTTGCGGAACCGTTTGCCAAGCATGAACACGAGGCATAGACTTTCGGGGCCAACCGCATTCTCCGCCATTTCAATGGAGATATGTGGATTTCTTAAATTGGATACATTCCATGTGATAGTGATGAGCGACATGCAAGGCTACGTGATAGGGTTCAAGGTTGAGATGCATATAATGTGAGAACTACGTTCTCCCTTACTGCCCAACCAATAGGCTCACTTCTATAGTTCAACAAGAGTACATAAAGGAATACGACAGCCCTGGAAAACTTATCAGTCTTGAGTGTATCTTTGATCATAGCCTGTGAAGGTGTTCCATTATATTACCTACCGTGAACTATGCAGAACTCCAGCTCATCAACACTTCCACGGAAGAAGGGCAAGACTGGAGTGAAGAAGGCCGGGGTAAAGAAGAATGCGGTAAAGACCGCTGGCAAGATAAAGACCGCTGGCAAGAAAAAGGCCACTTCATCTACTAGTGCAGTTCACCTTGCCGCTCCTACTCATCCTTACCCCGTGCAAACCCAGTATGCACCGACATATGCGCCACTTCCGCAGACACAAACTGTCGTTCTTGAGAAGCCAAGTAAGGAAACAGACATTCTCTTGTACTGCAACATTTCGAGAATGACACTAACAGAGCTCTAGTCGGAGGTAATCGAAAAGGAAAATACTCGTCATGTCTACTCGTGTTCCTAGCCGTTATTTCCTATCTGGTGGCCATCATTTTGGGCCGTAAGTTTTAACAAAATGCGTGATATAACATTGAAAGTCTCTCTAATGACACCTAGTTTATATCATGACTAGCTGCATCTCGACAACGGCAAAAGTTAACGAAATTTACCTCGCTGAACTCTCAACAAACGCGACATCCACCATCTCACTTCGTGTAGGCTACTTTGGTGAGTAGACAAAAAGCCAATATTCTTTCGTCAACGAAGATCACTCTCCACTAACTATATGCAGGAGGATGTGTGTCGGTCACCGAAGGAGCTGATGCATACTCTCCCGATGGAAATTCCACACAAACGTCCACCAACTGCGTCTCCAACATGCGACGCCATGATCGGGAGGAACTAAGCGAAGACCTTTGGGAGCCTCTACACCTCGACTCGGGTAGTACCCAAGCCGACGTTCAATCTTTTCTAAATACCACCCTCCCACAAGTCAAACACCTCCAAGAGGATGTTTTCTTCTGCCAACCTCCCATCGCTCATGTCCTCCTGTTTTTCATCTCGGGAATCATGCTCCTCGTTGCTCGCACAGGCACATCCAGGAAGAAGTCATACAAGGCAATGATAGTGATAGCACTCAGTTTGAGTGCCTTTGCGCTTGCCCTCGCGCTAGTGACCATCCTCGGTTCTTTACAGGGCATGAATGCGTTGCTCAATAGCTCTTCATCTGGGCAGCAAAGAGACCTTGGCAATTCCTTGTATATATCCCGTGATAAAGGTATGCTGGGGCTCCAAGGGGCTCTTGTTGGTATTGTCGTCGTATTCTATGTCTCAATGGGGGTACTCTTTGTGCAGAGGACAGAAGAGGGAGGGATTGGGTATATAGTCCAGGCCTTCCAAACTGTAGGGAGACCATTGAGGAAGAAGTGGGGAAGAAGAGGATACTAGTATGTACTATGTTGAGCGAAGGAAGTTGTGAGGAGTGATGTCTTACGGGGAAGGCAGGTCGAAGGGTAGAATGGGATGATTTCCTGTTCCTAGCCTTTCCTTGGAGGTCGATTTTGGTCTCTCCTTCTGTTAATCATATTCTGCGAGTTTTGCTTTGCTATTTGCCATTTTGATGCTTTGCTTTCACTACTTGTGTTTTCTTTAAATGATGGGTTGCTAGGCAATATTGGTAATATGGACTCTACTGAGCAACAGCTAGCTCAGACATTAATCATTAATGAACATGTCACTTATGCGAAAAATAAAAGTAAAATCTACATTGATGACGGAGGGTATGAGTTAAAGAGGCTCCAGGAAATCTCTACAACATAGAATACGGACAATAATTTCAAGGGAACGTGCTCGAATCTACCTATCTCCTTGGTGCTCAACACTAAGCTCAATTCGATATTCCCGGGATCTTGATGCATAAAACACTATAAAATATATCTTAGTTTATGATACGTGTAGTTGCCAAGCCTCCGATCTACAAGGTTATCCATAGGGCAAGCGGAGATCAGTGATCCCGATAATCCCGAGGTCCCCGCTAAGAATTCGTGTCAACGATCCCCGCCCGTAATTGTAATCCCCGTGATCCCCGTTTGTTTCTCAGGCACAGCTTGAAAAACTGATCTCACAAATCCAAACTGCAAAATGGTCGATAACAAGTGATTAACACGTTCATTTCCTTTTTGAACATAGTGAAAGCAGGGTGTTTATCAAATATTATTGGCCAAACGACACTCCGCCCAAATCACGCGCATTTCCTAATACCCAAGCAGTCCCAAGTCCAACGTAGGAATCATTTCCACCTGCTCACCCAAGTAGCAAAGATGCCCAAGAGAGACCCATGCTCTGACCGCATTTTTGCCGTATTTCCCAGGCCCCTATCCTTCTTATGGGTTGATGTCAATTGTGCCCTTGAAGCTCCAATGTGACGGTCTTGCTCTTTCGATGACACCGAGGAAGCACTTCAGTTCTCGACGACAGAAAAAGTCTACGAGCGGCTAAGACTTTGTGAATTCAGTGAATGTAGTGGCGAGGGGATTGAGGCGGTCCTGCTATGCCTTAACATAGCAATATCTATTGATCCAGGGAGAAGGCCGTATCGTAAGCCTATACGAAGCCTCATGACACGCCAAGCTCTTACCCGAACCATCGGTCACAAGCTTAGCCTGCATTGCCGTCAACTCGAAACCGCAGTCCCCATTATAGACGACATGCAGGTATGGAGGAGCTCTTGATTTGTCTGGTACTTTGGCGCAGTATCCACGGAAGAAGACTACCACGCTGTAAGGCGTATATTTTATTGAGGTGGGTGACGCGCCGTTTGTCGTACTTATATCATCTGTTTATCAGGCTGGGGCTTGTGGTATCGCTGCGAAGTAGGTTCTGTGCGAGATGTCATCTCCAGGCTAGGTAAGGGCTTATGGGAGGAGGCTGTGTTGCTGCGCGACTGTAAAGTTGACTTGTAATTGGATTAGCGCTATATTTGATACCAGAAAGTCCAGGGGTGATTTGGTGAGGGGCAGCGGTGTTGGTGTTGGTGCTGGATGTGTTTTCTGGGGTTGGTAGGTGGATGGATATGGATGGCGCTGCGTTTTATAGCGGTCTACACCACCATTCTAAATAGAGGACTCAAAACGATTTCCGTTGCAGGTAAAATGTGCGGACTAGAATCGTCTGCCTACAAGGTAATGCGGTAGTGTTTCGATGTAGTAGCTGGCTGACACTGTGACTTGGTAGCTTGGGGGTCGGGGTGGTATTGGACGCCCTGCTAGCCAGGCTTGTTCCTGTATGTTATTCGAGCGCTACACTAAGAGGTCCATGCGGTGAAATTTGGTGATGTTGCTGAGTGAGGCGTGTGGTGACATGTCATCGTGTCTGAACGATGCTGGGAAGATGTCCACGAAGTTGTTTGAGTCCTCAGAACTTGTGATTCGGCGGAACACATCTGTATCCGTGGAAGTAATTGGCTGATACTGAGCGTTTTAAGTGATTTCGTTTGATTGGAGTAGGATCTCATAGCCGGGTTGGTGGGGGTGTGCTGATTTGATTAGAGGCTTCTGAATACTGTACTCTATGCTAATATACCCGCAACGACAGCGCGAGGCAGATTTTATTGAAGTTCAAGCCTGCAAATCAGCTGATAAATATTTGATTCCAACGATGTGTGCCTGGTTTTGTGTTTCTTGTTATGAGTTTGAATGTCTCTTGTTCCAACCTCATTTGCCGCCGTGGTTGATTCACCTTGTCTTAACATATATCTTATACCCCCCTGACAAGTCAATAATATGAACGAACCATCCTTGAAGAGCCACGTTTGTATCACGAAGCGCTGATGAAATAACATATCCCACTGCGCAACTCATGGACAGCCACTTAAGATTTCGATGGATTACGCATATATCTCATGTCCAGCAACTGGTTGAGAGTCGCGGATGCCCTTTATAATGACGCGTTTATAGTGAGGTAGTGCCAAACATGAAGTCACGTCTATTATATCCTCCGAGGCACCATTTTCGTTCATCCCCAAGGTGCATGGCGTTTCATGGAAAGTCATAAGTTGAGGTATAATATGAGAGAATTCCCACCATAACTTTCAAAATATCCAGCCTTCTCAACTTAGCATCTTCATCATATCTTCATTTTTCCAATATCCAACATGCCTTTTGAATAGTTCAGACGCAACTGTAACAGAGCGAACGCCTTCATGGAACGGATGATGAATGGTGCCTCCAACCATGAAATTTTGGCTGAAGTCTTAGGTGAGGGATGTGAGAAATCCTCGGACCATGTTTACGAATTGTCCAGGGATTAGGTGACCAAACAACTCCACGTATCTTTCGACAAGCAGGACCCAAATGCCAACTATTCGGATCATTCCAATGTGTATCTTGCTGGAAGACCGAACAGATGGGCACATGGCTGGAGCCGGACGTACGTGCTCTATTCCCGACTTGGGCCAACACTCTGCCACCGGTCTATCTACACTGAGGGCCATGCCTATCATCTCAAGTTGGCGGACGGGGCCCAGGGATCGTCGATAGCACTTTGAGACGGTTCCAGATTGGATTGGAAAAATCCACCATAGTCTTAGTTGAACCTTCCATTGCATACCATATCGGATTCACAGATTACCAGGAACAAACAGATCTCTCTACTTGCCAAATGGGTAGTCAAACAATTGGATCATCATGACCTCTCTACGGCGGCGTATGAGCAGTTTGTCTCTGAGCTTGGAATTCTTGTTCTTCGTGGTCCCAGCAATACCACAGCTCTTATTGGAAGTTTTATACACATCAAGAATCATGACTTTGAACCAGCTACTCCTAGTCGATTTCCCACTGGGTTCCGGATTGCTGATCCCGATAAATATATCAACACTTGGGCCAAGAGGCGATATTTGATCTATCGAATTGAGACTGATGCACGGGGACTTGATCTCTGCCAGAAAAGAGGGTTGCTAGGAAAAGTCCGTTGGAACACCCACGAGTACCATCCATTCATTAGGCTTTTGGTTGTAGGGCCACCCGCTGTTGCGAAATATCTCACGAAGGCGGGGCAGCACATTCCGGTACTGTCACAGGCTGTTCCTTCACGATACCACAATGGTATGTCTCCGGACCGAAATTTATCATGGGCGCTAGATGCGCTACTGGAGATATACTTCAATCGAGCAGTAGCACCATGTTGACGAAAGAATGGGACTTAATTGTAAAAGGCGAACCAACTGCTGGAGAGATGCTGCCACCGATTCAACCGGGGAATAACCCTATTCTCGGAAAAGATGATTGGCTATTTGATACCTTGACTTTCTACCTGTTTGGGCATAATGGAATTCTATGCCAGATATTGATCGACGGGTCAGACTTTTTGGAGTCTCCTGTTGAAATATGAGGTTGTCCCTAGTTCACGATAGCACTGGATCTTTGCGGGAATTGAGAGTCTATGCAAAAATCTTGCATCAAGCATATATTCATCTCTAGTATGTTCAACGATGATACTTTCTTGTATCTTATAATGAGTGACGTTCAGATATGTCGTCTAGTAACGAACATTTGTATAGATGTAGATTATAAACGGCCGTGCTATACTTGCTATATAAGCAACTATAGTGGGGTAGGTGGATTCTTGATCGACATGAATATCAAAAGGATTTTAGGGTAACTCCGTAAGCCGAATTAGCCCCCGAGGTTCGCTTCTAATTGAGTTCAAAGTTCCGTAGACAGACCTTTGCTCCAGGGGGTTGAATGTAACATATTACTTTTGCCTAAGTGAGCCCCTTTATCCCTGTAGGGCAGCCAGTGTCACGCGATCCCGAGATCATTACGTAAATTATGAAGACAAGGTCACGGGGTGTACTTACACCCTTCGGATGGCAAGGCCAGCCATAGGACCAAGGAGATAATATACGTCGGGGAACGGACATCGAAATCGATGCAAGGAGGCTTCGATAGGAATTGGATCATGAACTCCAAACACGATCCTGCATTTACTGGCCCACACTACCTCAGCTTATGTACGGATATTACGTCCATATTATACAAAGTACATGCACATCATCACAAGCGTATAGGACCGATGGAACTTTGAAGTCATTTCTGTCCGATCGGACTGTTTGGACTTAACCTGACGAGCAGAAAAGAACTTCTCGGCAAGGGGAACCCCTCCGATTCGAGACCAGAAACTCACATCCAGATGTCTCAATTATTACCTGCAGGTTCCCGAGACCGTCCGTATCTGGGATACCGTGGCCATTTAAATATCTTCGCTCTTGTTCTTATGGGTTGAATGCCACGCTGCTGATCGCCATTTCCCCGCAAATCTATCAGGCACTAAAGAACAAGGCCTGATATTACCTGCATGAAATCAAAGCCGACAGGTCCACATGACGCTATCATGAAGGACGTGCACTTGGCACTTCTCTTGACTCCTGCCTTATTATTTGCTCTAGGCCT